GTCCCTCATCCCCCTGTTGTTGCAGGATTGTCCGTGTATTGACGAGAATAGCACAGGTGGTTTGTGGGCCTGTTTTTCAGTCATGCATAGGCCCTTGCGATTTGCACAGGACCATACTTACCCATGTGCTGGAAATCATGGGGTTACACATACGCATCAGAGTTTGGAAGCAGATGAGTTTGAAAATCTGGCCTCTTAGGTCCGGATGCATGGAGTGTTAACCAGGTGTAAAGGACTGTCTCATGACTTTCACATAAAATGATGCTTGGGTATTCTTCTGTGTGCTTCAGATCCATAAAAAAATGGGGGAACCCTTTTAAAACAGCTCCTTGAAAATCCTCTGTTAACTGTAGCAGAGGGGGCGGGTGCTCTGTGGTACCATGTGGAGAAGCCTGGTGTATCCCCTGCAGCCAGCAGGGCATGGGAGCTCTGCACCCAACGTGCCGCTCCTCTCACAAGTGGGAGTGAGCGTTTCACAGCCAGGTGACTGACTTTTCTCTCATTCACTCCCAGCCAACCTGGAAGTAAGGGGGTGCTGCAACATGCACATCTGCCCTGTGTACGTGAGGACTATATGTTAATCCCATCTTCTGTCTGATCGGCAGGTGAATGAGGAAGGCAGTGAGGCAGCAGCTTCTACCGTAGTCATGATCTCGGGGCGTTCATTTCCCATGAACAAAATGGTCTTCAATGCTAACAGGCCCTTTCTGCTCCTCATCCGGGAAGTTGCCATCAACACCATCATCTTCATGGGCCGAATATCCAATCCCTGCCCTTAAGGAGTCGTGGCCAAGTCCCAGCCTCTCTGTCCCCATTGGTATCCAGTCAATAAAATATCCTCTCCCCATGTCTGTCTCTTACGCAGCATTTTCTGCAGTATTGCTAGTCAGCAGTTTGGAAGGCCCAGCTTTACTCAGGGCAGCTGTCCTGTTGTTTGACAGAACCCTTACTTAGGGACTGTAACCTGTTAAACTGTTTACCCCCTTGCTGTCACAGTCGGGCGAGGAAGGGTGATGCATCTAAGGTGATGTTCTCTCAGCACCAGAGGAAGTCCCATCCTGCATTCTCCCTGTTAAAAGGAGGTTGGATTCTCCCAGTATTTTGCACCAATATTTGTTGTGTATCGCTGTCCTCATTCAGGCCTCAACTGTAACTCTGATCACAGCTTCCATTAAAAAACAATCCAGCAAACTAAAATATGAATGGCCAGTTTCTTCCTTGTTATAAACTTTTCAGTACGTGGGAGAGGAGCAGGCTGGGCCCGGAGAGCCCTCAATCTTTAATAAATGGGTGGTTCTCCCCATCCCACTCTTATCCTAGTGGACGGGCATGTCAAACTTCCTGCTGGGGTGTGGCAAATGTTCCCACTCACTCATGGGGTCATAATGCCACCCCTTGAAATGTGGCCTGCCTCACCCCTCTGTTATGACTGGGGAGGCTGGGCCATATTTGAATGAGTGGTGTTACAATGCCCACTAAAACGCTGAGGCTCAAATTGAGAAATACTGCCCTGAAAGCTTTGGATATTAAGGTACACCTCTACCCCGATAGAACGCTGTCCTCGGGAGCCAAAAAATCTTACTACGTTATAGGTGAAACTGCGTTGTATCAAACTTGCTTTGATCCACTGGAGCACGCAGCACCCACCCCCCTCTTACCCCCCCGGAGCGCTGCTTTACTGCGTTATATCAGAATTCGTGTTGTATCGGAGTAGAGGTGTAGTGCTTTTAAAAGGTTTCCTAAGATATGCAAAAATAGACAGCCGGATCAAAAGACTGATTTACTTAAAGTAGAATAAGTTTATTGGAATCAATGTATTGATGGTCCCAATTCCATCTAGATTACATTGGAAAGTCCCATTTTGTAAGGGGGATGGCTCGAAATTAAATAAATAAATTTTGCATTAGAACAATGCTAAATTAAGGCCTAACTCTGCTCTATGGAAGTCAATGGCAAAACTGTCAGGGTATATCTATATTGCAATATTGTAAGACCAGGGTTCAAACTTAGGCTCAAGCCTAACGCCAACTTTCATCTGCACACACATCATGCTAACCCAAGGCTCGGAGTGAGGATCCTAGGACTTCACAAGGGTGGAGGGTTCAAACCAGGACCTGAATTCTACTAACCCTGGTTTTACAATGCAGTGTAGAGAGCAGTTGCCCCTTACATCCCACTGTTGGCCTTCAGGAAGTTCTAGTCTCTAGGCAGGACCCCAATACACATGAACAAATTTCAGTAATTTAACTGGGAAATTTTGGCCTAGTAGCTGTGGCAGAAACATCTCTGGGTGATGGTACATGAAGCACCTGACAGATAGAAGAGTTGCATGACCCCACTATACTGCTTTGAAATGGTATTGACTTGTCAGACTGAAATCTGTTTGTTCACCAGTAAAAGGACCTGCCAGTCAAAGTTGTAAATACCTGTCAGTTCCTAAAAGGATTTTCCCCATAAGCAAATAGGTTTGTTTGTTTTTTTTCATCAGCTCTGCAAATAAGTCCTGAAAGCTCCATGTTAGTTACACTTCATTCAGAATTACGGAAATCCACAATGAAGGTAACCCCAACAGCCATCACTCTTCCTCTAGCCCCTGCTAATCAGCCACCCATATTAAAGGCTTAAAGAATTTCTTTATCTACTTCATTTGCACAATGACAGGTTTCAGAGTAGCAGCTGTTAGTCTGGATCTACAAAAAGAAAAGGAGGACTTGTGGCACCTTAGAGACTAACATTTATTTGAGCATAAGCTTTCGTGAGCTACAGCTCACTGAATGCATCTGATGAAGTGAGCTGTAGCTCACGAAAGCTTATGCTCAAATAAATTTGTTAGTCTCTCTAAAGTGCCACAAGTCCTCCTTTTCATTTGCACAGTTACTTTGTGGAGTTGAGAAACTGGTGTGGCTTTGGTTTTGTGCATCTGTCTCCTGTATAAGTGTGGTCTCTGATCCTTAACTTTTGCTCCACTACTGAATAGGTTTGTAGCTAGATGTCTCTGCTATACTTCACAGTGCTCTTATCCTGTCAGTACCACCACAGCCAGAAGCAATTTACTTGCATGAGTATCTTTGGCTCAGTCTATTCACAGACTTGCCAATAGGTAGAGTCCAGAATCCCTGCAGTTTGCCACCTAGGCTCATAGGAAGTTACAGGAGTAAGTCAGAGGGATACTTTTTGCCAGAATCATGGAAAAGACAATAGGTGGAGGATGGAGGGTTATATAATGGGTATGTAGGTGTTTGCATAGTAGCTCTCCTTCTCTTTAATCATCTATTCTCCACCTTCTATCTCTTCTATGACTGTGTCAAACCATTCGGCTCCCTCACTTCCATAACCTGGTCCCTGGCTTGACTTGCCCTCTAAGGGCAGGGAACAAGTGGTGAAATCCACCAAGTGACTTATAATGCTGTTTTGCTAGCCATACCACTATGGTGAGGATCTTAAAGCACTTAAGAATCAGCTTCCTATGAGACACATGTATACCCATTTTACAGCAGGGAAGGCTCGAGACTACATTCAACATTTTCACACTGGCCACTGATTTTTGGGTTACAGCCTGAGAATGCTGTAGGCCTGATTTTTAGAAGTGCTGGGCGCTCAAACGCCAGCGTGAGGTGAGGATGCGCAGCTCCTTTGAAAATCAGCCCCAATCGCAAGTTGAGCACCTAAAATCAGTGGCCACTGTTCAAAGCGTTGTCTGTAACTTATCCAACGGCAGTGGCTGAGCTGGAATTAGAAGCCAGATCTCCTGAGGCCCATTCCTAGGCCTTATCCCTTCACTGGTTAAGGAGGGTACAAGAACAAGCAAGTACTGGATCCAGTTTTCAGGGCAGGGCTTCCATATCACTTGCACGTGCGAACAGTGGAGCTTTAGGGGCAGCAACTAGGTTCCTGGAGTTCAAATAGATGCAGATGGAGGCCCTAGTTTTGTAGGGGTGGCCTTTGGGTGAGGGTGTGGAAGAGTTGACTTCCATCTCACTTGTGGGCTGCGAAGAAGAATTGGTTAATCCAGCCTAGGAGTGTGGGTGCCAGATGAGGGGGCTGTATGTTAGGAAAAATTCCTCAGGTGCTGGCCAAAGGCTATTTTCCCTCTGATTCAGTGTTTTCTGGGAGGCTCTCTGCAACTGAGCGCTTTCCCACTTGCTGTGGGAGAGTGGGCTATGCTGCCCTATCACTCCAGCCTGCAGCAAGATATTTGCTGCTGCTCCCCCTAGCTGCGGGAGGGGAAAATGCAGCCCCAGCAAGACTGCTGTGTTCTCTGCAGAGGCTGTCCGGCTGCAAAAGGAACAGAGGAATCCTGGTTCAGAATGGCCTTTTCAGGCTTGATACCTATAAGAAGGGACTCAAAATGGCCATCAAAAGGTCACCTCTCCTGCCTCTGAATCTCTAGGAGGGAGAAATCAAACGGGGGAATTTGGGGAGACTGAAGATGTTACAATCTGAATAGGTTTCAGACTGGTAGCCGTGTTAGTCTGTGTCAGCAGAAAGAACAAGGAGTACTTGTGGCACCTTAGAGACTAACAAATTTATTTGAGCATAAGCTTTCATGGGCTAAAGCCCACTTCATCAGATGCAAATAGATTGGTCTCGTTATGGCAACCCCCATTTTTTTTCATGTTCTCTGTGTGTGTGTGTGTGTGTCTCTCTCCCTCCCTCCTGTATTTTCCACTACATGCATCTGATGGAGTGACTGTAGCCCACGAAAGCTTATGCTCAAATAAATGTTAGTCTCTAAGATGCCACAAGTACTCCTCATTCTTTCTGCGATCTGAGTAGTTGTCAGTCTGCTGTGTGACTGAGGGTGGCAGAGAGAAACCAAGTGGGTCTTGAGCTTAGATGCGGGGGGGAGGACTGACCAATGAAAGACTAGGGACAAGGTGGCCCAGGGCCTGCTCCAGCCACAGGAGAGCTTGTTTGAATGGCATGTTACTAGTTTGTGTAAAGAACAGATTGAATGAACGGTAGCACTGTAACAGACTAGTCAGCTCTAAGAAAACCAGTGAGTATTAAACCATTTAATTTTCAAACCACTCACATGCATAATGTTCTTTTACAGTGTTAAAAGAAAGAAGAAAATGCAATTTGTTTTTAATACAAACAGAATTTCAAGTATACATTTATAGAATTTTCAAAGATTCCTAACCAAGTTGCTACGTTTTCATTCACATTGTTTTTAAAGCTGTATGCTGAGAGCTTTTTCTAAACTGATTTAAATGTTTTGTACAATTGTTTATCTTCCCCCTTATGCCTCAAACCCTGGTCCTCTTGCTTCCCTTCCCTGTCAGCACCATCAACAATCAGTGTAGGCTACCAGCCAGCCCTCACTAAGTGCTGGTGTGTGCCTGGATCACTGAGAGGAAAGGAAGGTGAGAGGACCAGCTTGGGAGAAGCTTGTAAAATCATTTAAGACCAGTTCTGATCTTACCAAATTACACATAGCAGGGCCCCACTTCAACCTACTGCAGACTCAGTGTGAACGTCACCTTTTTAAAATAAGGACTCTAACAATGCCCCACGCCAAAAAAAAAAAAATTAAAGAAGTTAGTATACCACGAAACTTCTTACCTGTGAAAAAAGTCTCAAGGGTTAGGACAGGTGTCATACACCAACTTTAGCTTCATAGGTCAGCATTTTAAAGAGATGTCCCAATTATTATATTTTTGGTTACTCTAAACATGAGGCAAAAGCAGGGTCCATGTGAGACATGAATAACATTTGGACTTTAAAACCACAGAACTGACTAGGGCCCCATCTATACTAAAACCCCAGTAACAGCTCTGTCGTGGCTCAGTCCTGTTATAACAGAGTTAAGCCTGGGGCATGTTGATGGTCCATCTGCTGTAAGATAACTGGTGTAACTTCTGACCTATTATAAATGGGTGTTAAAACACACTCTACAGCTGAGGGCAATTTTTTTTAGGCTCACTTATAAAAGCATTCACACAGATCAATTTGTGCCCATTCAGAGAATGCTACTGCCGTGCAGAGTTACAACCACTGTTGCTGTGGTGGGTAATCTCCTGGGTTTTTTAGTGTAGCCGGGGCCACAGTCTTGCACGAGGAGGGGATGCTGAGGTAGGAGGTAGAGCTGCATTTGCTTATGACGCTGCAGCAGGCAATGGCAGCAGCCAAAGGTTTAGCAACATCACTCCCTCCAAAACACTCTTGCTAAAACAATCCAGCTGCATGTACAAGTGGCTACAAAGCCAGCAACAGCCACACTCATTTTAAGATTTAAAGTGCATTTTTTCAGGCATGGGGTTTTTCTTCCTTAATGTAACCTAGGTAAAGTGCTGTTCTCATTTGAAAAGGGACTTTGTAAAAATGGCACCTTTTTACATAGCGGGTCTGTTTCTCCCCTGTCTATTCAGAGTCAGATCTGCTGCCTAGTGACTAGAATAAGGTATTTATTGCTTTTCGCATCTGTCAGCTCTGCACCAACAACTCTTCAGGAGAGGGAGGGAGCTGGAGTCTTCCCCTACTGTAATAGGATTGTTAACTTCCTGGAGCTGGAACTGAGTTAAGTCCAGTCTTACAGGTTTAACACGGGCCTTTGGCCTTCATTATTAGAGCATGAACAAGCCAGAAAGCACCCAGCTTTACTTTCAGAACTGAAAGGTAGTTTGTAGGGCTGGCTGTCAGAAAAAAGATCTGGCTTGTAACCCAAAGCTGGAGTCGGTTAGAATGAACACCCAACCCCAGATGCCATTTTCACAGAGTCACTTAACAGAGCAGACCTGCATTTTAAAAACACAGGTGGGGCAAAATTAAATCTGTGTTCTACATCTGTGGTTCTCAACCTATGGTCTGTGGCCCCCTGGGGGGGCCACAGACTATGTCTAAGGGGTCTACAGAAGACTTTGAACAGCATAAAACTACATGTACAGATAATGGATTCCCAAAGGGGTCCACATCTCCATTTGGAATTTTTTAGGGGTCTGCAAATGAAAAAAGTTTGAGAACCACTGTTCTACATAAAAGCTTTGTAAATAGCAACATGTGTAGCATGGCAACCTCAGCACTCAGACAGAGGGAGGTAGTTACTGTCCTGTACATCTTCTGCAGCGTGATGCAACTCAGTGGATGGAGTGATTGCTTCAGAAAACAACCACCACAAAAACTGTTTTCTCTGTTGTTTTTCTAAGGACAAAGTTACCCCAGTTCTTTTCTATTGAAAACATATTCAATCCTCCCCATCTAAGGGGTTTCTGTATTTTAGAAATTGATTGTCAGTTTAGTATATTATGAATCAAATTTGATTAGCAAATTGCAATAAAAAGCCACTTATAGTAAGTTTAAATTACTTTAGTAACTAAATGCTCCATTCTCCTTGGGAACGCACCCATTCATCACTCTGCATGGGTCGAGATTGCTCAGTCAGAGCTATTCTTCCTCAGTGTTACCATGCGACTGCATAGGACAACATTTGATGCAAGACGCAAGGTTACCGGACACATTTACAAAGGAAAAAAAAAAAAAAAGCCAGTAGCCCCATAGCCTGAGGCTGAGGCTCACATTCACAGCCTTGTGTAGAAAAGAGGGGGTGAGGTTGGGAAATGGGAGATTTGGTCAAGAGAAAGTGGGGGAAGAGAGCCCTCCATGGGGACAATTCCAGATTGAATACAGGCTGAGATGCCAAAGCAGGGGGGGGGAACCTGGGCCTTGTTTTCACTCTTCCCCCACAAAGCGCTGTTTAGAATAGCTTGCTTTCAATTTCAATAAAAATCGCTCCTACCTTGTTTCCTTCTCTTGTCACTCATCTTACGCACAGCCCAAGGTGAGGAATCACAGTACAATTGGAACACTCAGGGACAGAACCAACACATCCTACTCTTGCTAACTCATGTTTTAAAAAAGGCTGTGGGCAAGTCCATACGTCCCCGTTTTCCTCCAAGAGAAAGGTTGATTCTCATATTGTGTTGCCCAGTCTAAAAATCAATCAGCAACTTTACACACACAAGCATAAAAGAAACAAATTATAATTGAGAGGAGAAAACACTTCCCCGTTCAATTTAAAAACACTTCCCTGATTCAGTTGTCCTGCTGAAGCTGTAGCCCCAGAATCCTTTGCAAGTCATGTGGTGCCAAGGGAGGTGACTCAAAGCCAAAGGGAATGCTTCTTCGGTAAGTGGCATTGTACGATTATTGCATAACTCCGCTCTCTATGCCACTCAGCTGATTTTCAGCTCAGACATACTGCTTTCCCTACAGGCAGAGAACCCCCCACATGGATGTTCCTAATGCTTAGGAAGAACAGAAGTGCATCACACCAAAAATCTAGCTCCACTGTGGCAGATACGAGACAAATTGTGCCCTAAGCCTGTATTTTGAGTGTAACCAGACAGCACACTATGTTAACTGAATCCTACCACTGCATTTTAACAGAGTAAGCCTGTGATGTGAGTCACCATGAACTTTAGGGTGCTTCAAATTTATATTGCAGCAGACTTGAAAGGGTTCTGGGGGGAGAGGAGAGGATTCCTCAGCAGAAAGAGAGAGTACTGGAATGTTTCAAACCTTTTTGTGAACTCTTTTTGTGAAAGCTCAATGAGCATTTCCTTGTCAACACTTTGTTTAATGTGAAGCTTACATAATATCTGGCTTCAAATACAAACTGGACTTGGCTCTTGCCAATCACTCCCACCCCATTAAGTGTGGTAGGTGTGTTCACATACTGATTTGCAGGATATAAAACTATTAAATAAAAGCTTCACAGTAACCCAGAGAGCTCCCGTATATGTGAAAACCCTAAGGGGTATAGCATCATGGGAGGCACAAAGTCCCATTTGTACTGAATGCCCTAGACATCTAAATAAAAACAGGCTCCCCATCCCCACCCATCTGCTGGCTTTATGCACCTCACAATGTACAATTTTTACTAAGCAGAACAAAAACTTAGGAACTGCTGCAGTGACATGATCAGATTAAAAAAAAAAAATCACTATCAAAAACGGTCTTTGTCCAAGGTAGGTTTTTAAACTTTTTCAGATTTAATAATTTAAAATTTACCTTTCCCCATTTATACCATTATTTTCTGTATTTCACTACGATTGCCTGAAACTAGACTGGCCCGTTTCACTTTTTTTTAAATCCATTTCACAGTTTCTCGTGCTCCGTTCAATGGTGGTGTATGAAATCCAAACCCAACAGGGAAGGTTTAAATAAATACATTTCCCTACAATACAAAAATAATGAAAATACGTATTCATGGGGGAGGGGGGGTCTGAGTTTTTCAAGAAGGGTTTATACAAAGCAAGCTAAATCAGGGGCTTAATAAACCTGACAGTGCCCATGGAAAAATAATGCAGAGGTTTGTTTTTTTATTCCTGCCTTAGATGACTATTCATGAAATCAGAATATGTAAAATTGAACAAGGAAGTTGCACAGCAGTGTTTAAAGATACCTGAATATGTTTCAAAAGTGTTACTGATATGAATAGGACAGCCTCTTGGGAGAGGTCAACACAGCCTGGTTTATTTGTAAACCAGGGAAAATTAGAGCCGCAATCTGACACAGGAAGCAGCAGATTTCTATGGCACGTTTTAGGTAAGAAATGTAATTTCATGGACGTACACATCCATCACTGATTATTCAAAAGATAGAGAGCTAAGGCAAGACTTTCAAAGGCACATTCGCCACTTGCCCCGAGGGAATTAGTCACATTTTAAAGTGGTGCATGGGCCTGGAAACTCCTTGATATTCCACTACACTTCACTTTGTCTTCACTTCAGTGCTGACGCAATCCTTTCAGTTATTCTCCCATTTAAACTCAGATTATCAATTTCTTATAGAGGCTGTAGTATTTAAATTTCAGAGAAAGGGATTTTTAGTAACTTAGGGGAATCTGGATGCTTAACTGCCATTAATGATAATGCCTCAGGCACCACTGACAATTTCAGCCAGGGATTGAAACACCTCTAAGGACAAAGCCTGCTGCACCTGATTCAGCCACACAGCACAAATTTTAAAACGCTTGCCATCACTTCCTGACCTTGACTAGAAAAATTAAGTGAAGTATTACAGCAACTCCCGCAGCTGCACTGGTGGGAGCAATGGTATCAGCACTGGTATAGCCAGGGTTCAGGCACCTTGCCCATCATGCATGACACAGTGGTCAAGAGGTCAGAAATGCCTCTGCCAGTGGCTTAACATTGCTGCAGCTGCAGATTGCTGGTTGTTGCTGAAAAACAGTACATGTATTATTAGGATAGAGACACTGTTGGGTGCTGCTAAATGAACCTAGGCTTTTAATTTGCTCCCCCCCTTTGCACAACATCTGAAACATGCTAGAGACAAACAGTTCTTTCCCATCAAGCTTTGCAGGTGCATTTCATTCCCATTCTCTCCAATGCTTCTTGCTGGCTACTGCCAGAAACAGGCAAAGCAACACTTACACTGAAACACCACCAGAAACAACTGTGGAACTAACTCCTTGTCTTGGCCCAGCCGGCTCCTCTCCCCAAGTTTTGTCATTATCATGCCACCAAACCAACCTTACTTTCCACTTTATTTCTGTTTACACTTTGCAGACATCCTCTTACTGCTTACCCAGTGGCCCTGGTTCAGAAGAATTCCGGTACGAGAGCCAGGTGGACACGTCAGTCAGACAGATCCATCACTTTTGCAGCAAAGTGCTGCCTCCAATCAGCTTGTGTAAATGCTCAGCGTTTTTAAACACTATACACATGGGTCTGCAACACGCTCCTCCCAGTGCCAAAACAGGCTCTGCATGCTATGCAGAGAGATGCAGGAAGCACAGCTCTTAACATGATCCTGTTTTTCCCTTTGAAGGCCATAAGAGTACACATCCCAATTACCCATCCACCAACTACATAAAGCACAAAGCTTTAAAACTGGGACTCAAACACGGCCTGCTCACGTTAATAACAGCACAACGGTGTTTGGGATCCGTCAACAGTGAAAGGACATTTCCCATTTGCACAAGGCAACAGGCCTTTGCCAGGTGGGAATTTGCACCTGCCTGTAGGATTTGTGACTGCTTAGCAACAGAGACATACTGCAAGAGAAAAAGCGGGCTCATGAGCACCAGCAGCAAACTGAGCCATGCACTGCATACGCTAAACGATCAGTTTGTTATCAGACGGAGTGAAGGCATTGTTTGCTAATGCTGCTCTAGCCACACACTCTTCTCTCCCTTGCAAGGCTTGGACTACCTTGGCAAAGCCTGACATTCCAGTAGGGGATGCTGGTCTGAGTCCAATAACTTCTCTTCCCTCTCATCTCTGTCCCCACCCCTGGCTTGACTTGCTATTTCACCATCACCTAACACACCCTCTAGTGGACGCTGGGAAGCTATGGTTTGCAATACAGTCAAGCGGCCTCTACCCTGTTTAGTGTATTATTGCTTTATAAATGCAGGAGTAGGTGCCTATTCCAAATGCTGGGCTCCCTGGCCTTATTTAATTTCATAACAAAGTTTAAAGGCTCCTTTTCCCAATGCCAAATAATTGCTTACCAGTGGATAAAACACAACAAACCACAAAACAGCTCCAGCCTGAACTCCCCCACAGCTGGAGTTGTGGGTGGAGGGGAGGGGGAGAGGCGGGTCTTGTACTATGCCCTGAAGGTTTACAGAACTGGACTCTGGCAGGCTGGGAGGAGCATGAATTTCAAATTTGACCTCCTCCCAGAGAACACCATGCTAGCAAGTCCCTGCCCATCTAGCACAGGGGTTCTCAAACTTTTGTACTGATGACCCCTCTCACATGGCAAGCCTCTGAGTGCAAACCCCCCTTACAAATTAAGAACACTTTTTAATATATTTAACACCATTATAAATGCTGGAGGCAAAACGGGGTTTTGGGTGGAGGCTGACAGCTCGTGACCCCCCATGTAATAACCTCAGCTTGAGGAAGTCCCTACCCACAGTTTGAGAACCCCCTGATCTAGAGGAAGGGGGTTTGGCTCACTGCACTCTCAGCTGTGGCCCTATGGCATAAAAAGAGAGGTGGTCTCTCAGATAGGACTTCACTGTGCCATATCCACAATTTAGGCTGGGACAATCAGCCTTAGTGAACGGAACAGTTGTGCACGGAGCTTTTTACGAGAGTCACCAATGCCAGAAGCTCCGCATTAATGACTTTCCTGGTCTGGGGGTGGGTGAGTTCAATATTTATTACTGCTTCAGCTGCCTTGAAGGGGACATACATGAACTGTGATACGTTGATTCAAGGACGGTACCTAGATTCTTGGTTACTGTAGGGGCTGCCATAAGTGCTTGTAGTGCATTGTCCCCTGAAATGCTATTGTATCATTTCCTACATATCTGATTCGCTGTGAATATCACCACAAATATCCATAGGCATCTGATACCAAAGAGGACCTAGGGAGAAATTATTGTTAGTCTCTCCTTAGTGGCAGAAACATACAAATTGCTGAGCTACAACAGGGCTTTAGCCCTCTCTACAGAGAGACCAATAGGCCCTGCACTGAAAGTGCATACATAGGGCTATATTTTCACACACACAAAAGGCTCTAAAGTTACACCAACAAAAAGTGTGTGGACGTGCAAATAGGTAAAGGCTCAGGCAAACAAACATAAAATGGGTAACTGTGCAGTTACTTGTGTGTGCAAAAGCGTATTTTATTGGCATACCATAAGGGCTTTTTAGAAACGTTTAGACTTAAAAATTGATTTAGACACTTGAAATGGAAGCCCTGGAACAATGAGACACCGGGCCCATTAAGGATTTGTAAATGGAACTCTCCAGCCATCTTCTCCTTCACAGATGTCTAAATGGTAGTGTGTAGAGCAGCCCATTTCACCATGTGGAAACTGAACCAGTTGACTATATAGAATATAGTGACTGGCATTTGGGGCCGACCCTGAATGACTACCGTCTTGCTAACAGTGGATTTTGGTCATCATTTGCAATGATCACAATAAAAGACAAAGGAAAATGTCTTTTTCTGGGGTTGAGTTCTGTGATGACTGCTCTGGTCCCTCTAGTAATTCCATTCTCACAGCATCTCTGCTCAGTTTTTAGGCAGTCGCCTCCTGATTAAACTGAACACGTACAGTGGCTTTAATTTCAACCACTGCACTGGAGCCATTAACCCTCTTGACCACACTGTAGCAATGGAAACCCTCATGCAAAAAGAGTTTCACAGGGATTTAATAATTAGAAGACAGGGTTTAGTATCTGCCCATGGTGAGAAGTGCTTGTCTACTCTGATAACTGGGCTGGGTCCGGTTCTCTTTGAAAAATAGCAATTTTCTGATCAGTCTGGGACTCTGTGGCAGAGAAACCAACACAGGGGGCTTCACCAGGCTCCAAGAAATCCATGCTGGTGGCCAGACAATTCATCCAACAGGCTGGGCTGCAGAACCAACCAACCAACCAAAACATGTTTGCTCCTGACATCAAAGGTAGCAGAATCTGTAGTCAGCCATCTACACTGGAGAGACACACTACAGCCCAAGTACTCATGCAACAGGTGGCCAGTCACAATGAAAACTTTTGAGGAAAAGCTAATTGCCATGTTAAATGTTAGGCCATAGTCAGCAAGCTTCACTATTTGATGTCCCCACTCCGTCTCTGGTATATGCTGACTCTCCTCACACAGCTGCAGTCCCTTAACCTCTCTCCCCACATTTTAGAACATGCCCCTTACTTGTAACACTGATATCAGCCTGCCGTAGAGACCCACTTAGAGAAGGGTACTAAATGATATTAACTATAAACAGAAAGTGCAAAAACGTCATTGTACTGGAAAAAAGTCTGGTTTTTGCACCCAAATTTCCAGGACAAGCATTAAAGCTGTAAATCAACGTGGCACATTCACAGTAAATGCTTTTATGCAATCAAGATGGTCACAGCTGACGTGGACGCAGTGCCATAAATATTAATTTACAAAAATTTAATCTCCAGACCACCCACCAAAACCTTTGCCTGGAGTATCTTTACTAACTCACTGTGCAATCAGGGTGGGGGTTTATAGCTGATTTAGATTAGTGTAATTTTAAATTTATTCTGCCCATTTCCAAGAGGGAAAAAAAGGGCTATTTTCTTGTTAATAAAAATGACATGATTTAAAACTATTTTAGCACCAATACAAATAGAAGTACCATATACACCCTATTTGTCCATTTGTTCAACGATTCTTTTCTGCCCCACTGGGATATTTGTTCTTAGGTGCGTGTCCTCCCAGGATCCTATATTCCTTCCCTTTAACTGGTGTATTACAGTGGCTCCTGCTAAAGACAACTGCACTTAGGAGTTCACTAGTGCAGTGGTTCTCAACCTGTGGTCCATGGACTATGTCGAAGGGCTCTGCAAAAGACTTGGCCTGAAATCTGGCTGAACAGAATTCAACATACGTTCATACAATAGATTTCCAAAGGCATCTGTACCCCCATTTGAAATTTTTTAGGGGTCTGCAAATGAAAAAAGGCCGAGAACCACTGCACTCGTATGTCCATTATAACCTCAGAAGGGATGCAGGCTGACTGCAAGCTGAGGTTTACCATGGGAAGCCTTGGCCTAAAGGAATTTTTTCCCTCACAAAACTGACGTATGACAAAGCTCCTTGGGCAGGGACTATGTCTTCCTATGTGTTTGTACAGTGTCTAGCACAATGCAACAACCAGTAATTGCAGAATAGTACCCAGCAGTCACCGTCAGAAACTGGTTAACTTAAATCTTTTTGTATTTGCCAGATATGAACAGGAGAGCCTTCCCATACTCTTCACTGTCTATAGGAGTCTCTGGAATCAGTAAATGCAAACTGGACTGGACTGGACTAGCTGGCAGAGATTGCCTGAAACACCCCATCTTGCTAACAGGCATTGATTATCTTGGGGAATGGACAGTGAGTTCTGCTAACTTATAGAAGTAGGTGGCTCATTACCCGCACTGGATACAAGGGAAGAGAGAGAAGCTTTCTAGAAGGAGGCAATCTAGGGTGTGGGCTGAGTAATGCAGTGGGAGGAACACTATGAGCAGCCAAGCCCGGAGAGAAGCTATGTATGTTATAGTTAATTTCTGTGGTAATAAAACAGAACCCTGTGAGGGGAGTGAGTTTGGACTCTATACCGTGTGTGGACTGTGTTTGTGAGTAAACTGGGAAAGACACCTGCTCACATAGAGCAAACACCATTCTGTATTCATTCCCCCTGCCCCCCACTTCTGCTGAAGTCGTACAAGTATAGTGAGATCAGAGGGCTCTCTCTCCAGTGAGTGACACAAAAACAATCAGCTGGAAGCCTGAATTCCCAGTCCTACCAAGTAAAAACACGTCTAAATTACAGTGACGAATGACCTACTATTGTAAAAAGAGTATATGTTTCAGAATATGCTCCGAAATTATCTGAATGCAACAAAACCTTAGCGCTAACAGAAGCCATGCCAGCACCATGCAGTTTCTTGGATCAATGTATTCTTAACAAGTAACCCTCTGATTCACCAGCTAGGGCTTTGTCTACACACTGCCACAATGTGCATTAGAGGGGTGTGAATTCTAAAGCACACCAAAGGTGTTGTATGCTAACTGGCCCGCATGGGCCCTGCTGGCATGCACTCAAAGTACCCTCGTCCACCTTAACATAGTACTGCTTGTAATTATAAATAATTATTCCCTTCCATGGTGGTGCATTTTAGAATTCACTCTCCTCTACTGTACATGGCCGCACCATGTAAACCAGCCCTTAGTTTTAGCAGGGATCTGGACACAAATGCTGCAATACTTCTTGTAGGACCCATCTGCATTACAGATGAAATAGTCAGGAGAATAGTCACATTATAGTGCAGACAATGCTTTACCTCTGTTCCATACCAGGCTAAAGCCCTGACTCAGCTATACTGGTGGCATAGGTGATCTCTTAAGGAGTGTTACAGGCTGAGAATGCACATGTATGCGACTGCTGTTTTATACTCAAGGTAGGTTAATAACCACTTCTCTGCAATCTAACAGCCATTTCATTACTGGCCAATCACAGCGGCAGTAACTAATGTTCTACTGTGGCTACAAGAGAGTCAAAATGTATGGACAGATGCAATTTGCTTTGCTAATGTCATTGCTTGTCACTCTCCCTTTCCCACCATGCCGAACAGGGATTTGTCAATAGCCAGTAGACCTAAAGGGTGCTGCTGTCAGATGCAAAAGAAAAGCAGCTCATTCCAATGCACAGAAGACCTACCAAATAGGCGAAGCCATAATACTGAGAGCCATCAGTCCCGATGCCACCTCTCTGATCTCATCGTGAGAGCTTTCTGGTTAGCCACCACAGTAAGACACGTGCCTCTTCTGAAGCGGCTGTGAAACCCTCTTTAGGGACTGGTAGCTGCCAGGGGTGTGGATTGTAATGGGGTAATCTGTCCCATCTAATTAGACACTAACCGTACAAGCCACACTTTGAAAAACTCTGACACTAGGGAAGATACCAGAGAAACCAGTAAGAGATTCAAAAGGAGAAAGCTTGTTTCTCCAAAAATATAAACTACTTTGGAAGAGAAAAAAACAATTTAGAAATTTCTTTTTTAATCCATTCCCTTCACCACCCAGTCTCAAAGGTTTCAAGGTTAAAATTCCTAAGAGATTCACCAACACTGGGTCTCAAGTCAGAAATATGGATGTAAATAAGACATCTAAGAACTGCTCAGAATCATCCCCTACAAGTGCCCTTCTGCTGCCAAGATGTGTCATCTAGCAATCTGTAGTTCGTGACCAGATTAAAATTAAAATTTGATTAGAATATTGCAGCCCATCTTAATATTGAAAGGCTTATACACCCCTAATGATAGCTGTAGTAAGAAAAATTCTGCTTTCTTCACCCAAGGCTTCTTTTCTCCCCACCATAATATATATCATCCATTCCTGGGGCATACAAGATACCAAAGTGCTGGATGGTGACATTGATGATACAGCTGAATCACAGACTGACTGACTTTTATGAACAAGAACAAAATAAATTAAAGGAAACAGTAGTAACTTCTTCACAGTTTGGAGGCGGAGAACACAGCAAGACACCTGAAACCTTAGACTCCCCAGGAATAGGAAGTAAAATAAAGCAATGAAGATTCTGGCTAGGAATATTTTGAGTTTACATCAGGAGTTAAGACTGAAGATTCGTGCCAGAAGCAGAGATCTTACCTGCCATGGAGAAGTGGTACAAACCACATCAGACCCTTTGCTGTCAATGGGGCAAATTCTGGTCCCATCAAAGTCAATGGCAAGATTTCCAGTGACGTCAATGGGACCAGATTCAGCACAATGACACTAAAACAATAGGTCCCAGCCATTCTCCCTCAGTAATATTCAGGGATAAGAAGATTCTTGTGAAGCTAACTCAACCCTTGGTATGGAAGACGTACATTCCCAGTCAGACTCCCACTCAACCATGCAAATTTCACTGCCTAGTTCTCTAGATCAGAGGTTGCCAAACATTTTTGCTGAGCCCCCCTTTGTAGATTCATGTCCCATGCTCACCCCTCCATAACTGTGGAGAGGGGGAGGATCAGGGAAGGGGTGGGGGCTCAGCAGTCACAGGGGAACTGGGTTGGCTGGCTGGCTCCCATTGGTGCTGGGGCAGAGCAGGGTATCATTATTGCCAGGGTGCAGCCTTTTGCTCCCTGCTCACAGAATCCCTGCTGGCCTCCCCAGCAGAGGAGGATAACTGCTGGCTGCTGCAATCGAGGAGCAAGATGAGCAGGGAGCCTGGTCTTGGCTGCACAGAGCCCCAAATGCTTCCCCTGCTGAACACCCCCCCCCCTTGACCCTGGCTTTTGAGCATGGCCCCATCATGTCTTCGCGCCCCCATTAACCTTATGGTGCCCCTCCCCGGGGGACATGCCCCACAGTTTGGAAACCTTTGCTCTAGACCTTCCGTCCTTTTCTAGCTAGCATCCGTAATACTTCAGATCCACCTTCCCAAACTCCAGGCTCTGTATCTCCCGTTATGCTTGTAAAAAAGCTACATTTTCAAAGACAGCCTTTTTAGTATGCACTTCGTTGGTCATTCACGTGCAACAATGCGCCCACGTAACTAGAGATGGGAGGACTCTTTTGGCCAAAATCTATCACCCACTTAAAATGGGTTGTTTCCCGCCCCCCCTAGATTTACAACAGTTTGAGGTTCCAGTTCCCCTGGCTGTGACACAACATGAGCTCTGGACTGCTGCCTTTTTAAAAACCAACCTATTCTATTCCCCAAACAGCCCTAAAAGGCCTGACACTGATTGCGGTCAAACAACAGCCTGTAGTGTTTGCATAGTACTAGCTTCCATTTGGTCACAAATAAATATAGTTTTATATAAAAATTTCCCTTGAATCACAATGGCTTAAATAATAAACATTTTTTGCTAGCTCTAGAGCCTTTCCTTGAGGATCTTAAAGCGCTTTACAACCATCAATGAGTTATGCCTCACAACATGTATTCCACCCCAATGAGTATCAGTATCTCCATTTCAATGAAGGGAAACTCAGGTATAGAGACTTGCCCAATGACACATAGCCCATCAGTAGCACAGCTGTTCAAAGAGCCCAGATTTTCTGACTTCAGACCTCAAGCTTTAGCCACTACAGAACATCCTCTCGTGAAAGAGAGAATTAAGGGAAATATTTTTCTCTGACAAACCTGAATTACACAAAACCCCAAACTAAAAGCTCAAACAATTTGAGGTTCCACAAAGCAGCATTCCTTTGGCTTCTCCTATCCCCAAAACATTTCTCCAAAAGCAAAGCAAAGCAGCCTGAGAATGGAAATCGTCTGCATGCTCTAATCGTACCTCTAAATTAGTCAGGCACCACTATGTGCAAAACAGCAGATTTTTATAAAGTTTTAACTAATAGGTTTTCTGGGTGCTAATTTTTGCTGTTAATTAAAATGCATGACTCAAAGTATCCATTTTATGGGCTAATTTGCACTGTAAACTGCATCTTCCAGATAATTTTTCATCTGCTTCTGCAGTAGCACATAAAAGTTAAGGCCCGAATCCTCCAAATGGATCTGTATGGACAGATCCCCATTAAAGTCAAAGGGGTTCCACACAAGTGCAAGGGTCTGTTCTCTTAGTTCATTTGCAGGATTGAGGCCACATTTTTAAGTAAATTTATTACTGGTGAAAGTTGAGGCACTGACAGCACTGGAAAGTGAGGTCATTTGGGTGTCACAGGATAGATACAGAACAAGCGGTAGAAGAGAGAGCTTTTCCCAGTCAATTTGTTTCAACCCTGGTCTGGAAGGACCATGTGTGGGATTACACATGTCCTGGCTCTATGCTCATTAAATCCACGATCATCTCTTCGCTAAGACTTTCAGAAAGACTGCCAATTAGTTCCAAACGTATTTCCTGCACTGAATAACTGTCAGATGGTAACAAAGTTTAGTCACTACCTGTCTCCCTGGGATTTAAACCAGTGATCTAGAAGTGAAATTATCCATATTCCATTTCTAGTTCATCATCCAGGCCTTTGAAAACTGAATTCTACAAAAGGTGGCTTGAAAAATTTACTAACAACCTGACTAGACAGAGGACTAAACATACTGACCAGGGTATGGAAAATGATCAGTGGGTGCAATAACCTGATGATAGGCCCAGAGACTCATACGAAAGATAAGTAGGGGCTTCCCCCCCTAGCTCAACTGCTTGGATTCTTATCAGGTTGCTATCCCTGGATCCTGGTAGGAGGCTCTATGTTTTGTATCAGCCTCTGGCTAGAGATACAAATAAATGTTGTACAGCCATCCACCCTTCTCTAGCGGTCTGTGGGGAAAGAGAAGCCGCTCTCTTTTCCCTTCCTGCAGCCCCAGAGCCTCATGGCTGCTGCAAGAGTGTGGGGAAGAGTTTGCCCTTCCCCAGCCTTCTGGCAAGGAGGATCAAAAGGAGGAGTTTAGCTTTCCTAAAAAGCAGCAGCACAATATTGACACGATTCTTGGTTTTTCCACAGCTATTCACAGAAAACCCAGTGGCAGCAGCGAAACTGCCCAGAGTGGCATTAATTACACGCTGCTCCTACTTGGCAAAGCTATGGCCAGCAGTGAGGGGACCAGAGCTTTCTGCAGACTCAGGGAAACGCCTGCATCAGTTCACATTTGGAAGGTTATCTTTGCAACCATCAAGAACTAGAAACTTTCCCCCCCCCCCCATTACAGAAAAACAATATTCTCCAGAAATTGATGATCCATGTTCCTCTCTTGGCAGGGGCACATAGGCAAGTGGGATTTTAAGCCCTGGTTCTGAAGCTCTAACAGACATATTAATTACAGAAGTATTAATATATGACAGAGCTCTTCTCTACACATGCCCCTTCAAATCAGAGTTGAAATCACAGTTTAGCAAAGGTGAAAAGTTGCAGTTACACACTGAAATGCAAAGCCAGATCCCCAGCCAATCCGGGATATGTCTATACTAGAAAAATATGTCCCTTTCCCCGCCCCCCCAACATCAGTGGAGCTGCAACAAAGGTATAATTGCCAATGTACACCGGCCTAAGGTTTTTATCACTATGTCATGAAAAACTGCTCAAAGCAGCTGCACCCTTGCTGAAAAATGAGTAGTATTTTTTCTATTGTAGGCAAGACACCAGTCATTTCTATTCTCCCATCTTGGCCTCATTTTCACTAGAAAACTGAACCATTAGTGATGATAATTTCAGAAACAGCCCCATCTGACCTGGTTCTCAAATTGCTAGCATAGATAGCTTTCAGCATTGTTACAGAAAGCACTAGAGACACCAGGATCTCCACACACACAAATATACACACATACACATTCAGTAAATGTACAAAAAGAGTATTAATGATCCCCACTCCCATACTTTACACTTACCCTAGCTACAAGCTATAAACTTTACCTCAACGAGGCCTAGGCAAGAATATTGGCTCTTTCACATGCAATCAGAAATGGTTGTTTGTACAACCGCAAGTGCTGCACAACACAAAAAATTCTTTCACAAGCTTTATTATTGTTCATTTTTTAGACTAGCCTAGGCTAATAGTAAAAAACAATTTCACGGCTCTTGCCAGGCCAATTAAGAGGAGTGAATCAGCAAGCAAGGAGGTGCTGACATTATCCAAGATTACTAGGATCTCCTCTGTTCACAGTATCAATACAGTAAAAACCTGTTCAAGAAACTCATAGCCATGTCATACGGACAAGGCATTCAGTATTTCATTTCAGCCCTTCATCACTTAATGAATTTGTTGCCATCGGCTTCGGAGAAATTTTGCTTGTATAGCAGTTACTGCACCTTCACCCTTCTCTTCCCAGCAAGCTCAGTAGGGAAACTTTCCTACTATATATATATACATACACATGTATATAAATAATTTTATGTTTTACAGTTGGTAGTATTTTAAAAGTTAAATTTTAAACACTTAAAATTTTGTAGGTAACTAAAAGTATTTTCTGATGCTCTCTAGTGCGAACAGGATAGTTTGGGGTTTTTTTTTGGTAAGTTCAACAGCTATGACTAACGCAGCATATTCTGTGCATCCCATTTCCCCTCTGGCCTTGATTCTGGAGAAATCCACACTAACAACCACCTCTCTCCTTTCTTCTGTGGCCGCTTTCAAACACTCTTAAGGTTTCCGGTCCTATTTTGTTTGACCTTCACTAGATTGCTGACTTTTGATGGTCCTGGGGGTGACTCATTAGAACAGCTTTCACTGTCTTATTCTGCCACTTGACAGGTGGTACGGCATCAATGTCTATGTTTTAAATACAGTAGAACCTCAGAGTTATGAACACCTTGGGAATGGAGGCTCTTCGTAACTCTGAAACGTTCGTAACTCTGAATAAAACATTATGGTGGTTCTTTCAAAAGTTTACAACTGAACATTGACTTAATATAGCTTTGAAACTTTACTAGGCAGAAAAAAAAATGCTGCTTTCCCTTTATTATTTTAGTAGTTTACATTTAACACAGTATTGTAGTTGCTTTTTCTTTTGTCTTTGCTGCTGCTTGATTGCGTACTTCCGGTTCCCAATGTGGTGTGTGGTTGACTGATCAGTTTGTAACTCTGGAGTTCATAACTCTGAGGTTCTACTGTAATCAACAGAACTGTACTTTGCAACTATCCTACCTCAGAACATCCCCAAAGCTTCCCTCTGAGAGAGCATCCTCATTGCATTCTATCATGGCACCACCAGATTCAAACTGTCTATTCCAATTCCTCTCCTTTACATTGCACGCAAAGAACCACACTACCATGGCCTTCGCTAGCTGGGAAAGAGGTGGAGGAGGCAGTGTGACCCTTATGTTACACAGGAGAGTGGATAATAATACTTTGCCCTTCTAGAGATTCTTCCATCCAAGCATGCTGTGAGGTAGGGAAGTAGTATTACCCCCATTTTACAGATAGGGAAACTGGCACAGGAAGGTTTGGTTTGCCCAGGGTTACACTGTAAGGTACATCTACACAGCAAAACACAAAATTCTGTAGCAACAAGTCTCAGAGCCTGCACAAAATTCTGTAGCAACAAGTCTCAGAGCCTGGGTCACCTGACTCGGACTTGCGTTGTGGGGGTAAAAACAGCAGTGTAGACGTTTGGGTTCGGGCTGGAGCCTGGGCTCCAAGACCCTCCCTCTCTGCCAGGTTTCAGAGCCCAGGCTCCAGCCTGAGCCCCAATGTCTACACTGCTATTTTTTAGCTCTGCAGCATGAGCCCTGCTAGCCTGAGTCAACTGACCAGGCTCTGAGACTCACTGCCACAGGTCTTTTTTTGCTATGGAGAAGTACCCCAAATCACTAGGAGGGAAAGGAATAAAAACTGAGGTCTCCTGTCTGCCAATTCTGTGCTAATGTTTACACTGTTTTTCAAACGCCTCCTTGCTCCTCCCACTAGCCTGATGTTCATCCTCCCCCATCACACACTATGTTCCCTCGGACCACAGGCTTCCTTCAGACACGCAGCCTCTCCTAATTCCAAGCTCCAAAAGCAGTAGGACCAGCAGTTCATTCCTATTTGCACTTACATACAACCCAGCATCAAAGTCAAAGCCAACTCTTCAACTATTGCATATTTTTAAAGACTTTTTAAAAGGACATCAAGACATTTGCTCTTTTGAACTTGCACCGATGTACCTATACTATTTTTTAATTTATAAACACATTTGCATGTGCAAACATGTCTGAGACGTGATGAAGGCATATCGCTCTGGGTTTGGTACACTTACCCTTCACTTCAGAGCTACCTGGAATATAATATGTGCAAGGGACAGAGTTACGATTACTGTAGGAGCAGCAACTTTGAATTTCCTGAACCATTATGAGGAGTTAATGTCAGGTTTTTTTTGCATTTGATTCATATAAACTTATCAAACTAGTACACGGAGACATAGTTAAAAACAACCCATGATAATTTCACTGGGATTGGACTGTTTCAATATACAGTATTGCTGTTATGTAAAACCAAGTGCAGGGAAAGCCAAAGATGACTTAGGTAGCCAGCCTCTCACTTGTCAATTCATCCAGACAAGAAATCTCTTCCTAACTCTTGGCAACATGTGAAGCACTGCAGTGTGCAGAAACTGGTCAGGAAGTTGAAATGCTCTGTGCTATTAATACTAGCACCAATAAGCGCACCCTGTCCCAAATCCCCTCCCCAAAAAATGTAGACGAATCTAATGCAAACCTCACAGCTGCTAATTTCACTTTCAGTAGCCTACGCTCTTCAGATTTTGCTGACCTCTAGAATACTGCTCAAAGGTTGCTGCCCGCTTTTAACAAGTGGGCAGAATGCCATATGCCTGGAAAGGGCAAGCAGAAAGCCCTAAAATAATGGTTTAATTAAAATTTTAAAAGAGACACACCAAAATAAGACAGGATAAATACACTCAGGTAGGGCAAGATCCACCAGGAGAGTGATATTTCTTTAACATGACAACTACCTGGGAAAAGGGGAGGGTAAGTGTTCCTTGCCCCTGCTACCCCATGTGATGGACCAGCAGCTGTTGCGAAGACAGACACCTGTGCACTGCACTCACTGAATTGGGGCCATTACAGCCAACCACCACCACAGAGACCGAGGTGCTGAGCCAAAATGCTGTCAAGAAATAAAACGACTGCTTCTCCTGGATCGCTACTGAATATATTAAAAACATTAAAAAATCCCGTCGATCCCTGAATCAGAAGTCGATTGACCCAGTTTTGTTTTTTCCCAAGGAGATGAGGAAAAGGGGAAAAGCTTTTAGCACTTTGTTTTTGTTAATCTTCTGTTTTGGCAACATCCCGTCCGGTGGTGGCATTGCACTGATTACAGTACCAGCCCGCCGTCTCGGTGCTGACTGCTTACAGCCAAACGGGAAGAGGGTCCTCCCCCACAACCCATTTCAATCTGGCCCGGTGGTGGACACAGATCCCTGTGCCGTCTCCCCTGCTACAACAGCTTCCTCCTGCGGGGGAGACTCTTCCTCGGCCTGCCCCCTGGAGGTGACGGTGGTCTCGGGAGAAATGCTGTGCGGCCCCTCCAGAGGCACACAGCCAGGGTGGTTTTTGCGAAAGTGTTGGTTGAGGATGGCCTGGAAGGGGAAGCTCTTGCCGCAAACGTGGCAATGAAAGGGCTTGTTGCCTGTGTGCTTGCGGATGTGATACTCCAGCTGATCCTTGCGGGTGTACTTTTTACCGCACATGCGGCAAACGAAGGGCGTGATGCCCATGTGAAGACGCATGTGCCGGTCCAGACTGCCTTTCTGGTTGAAGGATTTGGCACAGTAGATGCAGGTGAGCCGTGGGTTGTACCGGAACCACCGCTCAGACACTTCCTGTTCACGGAGATACTCAACATAACCGCTCACTCCAATCATGGCGGACTCCTCCACCTGGGCCAGACACATTGAAGACAGAAAAAGGAAGACAGTCAGCTAGAAAGAAACAGTATCTTTTTATTCCTCTCTTGAGCACCGATCCAGTCAAACACTTAAGTAAATGCCAAACCTTGAAGTCAATAGGACTACTCACATGCTCAGTCTTAAGTACACACTTAAGTGCTTAGCTCAATGGGGCTTTTGCTCTGAGGACTAATAGATTACCTAACTTGTTCCCTGGGATCTGGGAAGATAAATATGGCTATCATCAGTATGGCACTTAGCTGAATCGAGTTTTGGATCAAACGTACCAATGCTGTGTTCACTACCCAAACCAGTGCCCTTTTATTAAAATATTGGTGTTTCCTTTTTTGATATTACTTGTAAAAAGAAAAGTAAGTGAATGGTCAGAGATTTAGTATGATGAAGGCAAAATAAGTATGAAAATTACATCTGAAGAGCTCTAGGTATTTCACAGGCAATGAATTATATCTCACCAATGGGACGTGAAGTCAGTATTACCCCACTTTACAGAAGGGAACCTCAGGGCAGAGAGGGTTTAAATGACTCGCTCAAGGTCACAAAGCAAGGAACAGCATGCGGATGTCCTGATTTTCTGTAGTATCTGGCTGGTGAATCTTGCCCATATGCTCAGGGTTTAGCTGATCGCCATATTTGGGGTCGGGAAGGAATTTTCCTCCAGGGCAGATTGGAAGAGGCCCTGGAGGTTTTTCACCTTCCTCTGTAGCATGGTGCACGGGTCACTTGCTGGAGGATTCTCTGCTCCTTGAAGTCTTTAAACCATGATTTGAGGACTTCAATAGCTCAGACATAGGTGAGAGGTTTTTCGCAGGAGTGGGTGGGTGAGATTCTGTGGCCTGCGCTGTGCAGGAGGTCAGACTAGATGATCATAATGATCCCTTCTGACCTTAGTATCTATGAATCTATTATCTTATTAAACTAGAAAGAAGGGTAGCCAAGCGTGGCTCTTTAACCCCAACTTGGAAGCTAGGACAACCATTCACATTGCTATTCCTGGCCAGCTACCACACTCATACTGAACTGACACAAATACATAGTCCCCTGGATACCTGCACTCTTGCCTGCAGGTTGGGAGGACACAGCACTTGCATTTGAAGTGTTACGCCAGTTTCATAAAATGCCATATCCCCAGACAGGTAGCCCATGTAACCCCGGAAGGGCCGTCCCTTCAGCGGGGAAACATGGAGCATGTGGCAGCAGGAGCATTCCAGTGCCAGGTGCCTCACCATTCCATCATGCTTAGAACAGAAAGCTTGGACGAAATGAAAGGAACAAAACCACAGCACGTTATATGAAAGTGCTGCCCACAGGTACTCTATTTACACCCGCCATACAAAGCCAAGGGGAGCAGGGTGATGTAACGCTTGATCATTGGTGTGGCTAGAAGTGCACAATTCCAACCAGCCTTTTCAACTGGAGTTTAAGGCCATTTCTGTATGGAGAAGCAGTAGCCTTTTCATACTTAGGGTAGCAACTACTGTCCTGCCCTGCCCTATATGTTTAGCTTGATCTGAACATTTCTGGATTTCTTCTGAAGGCACAATAGGATGTTTTTGCAAAGTATGATGAAAATCCAAGGTATTTTTATCTTATGGCACATTACAAACCTACTGTCATAACCATACAGCTAAGGGTAGCCTAGAATTCCTCCTTACCTGTAAGGGGTTAAGAAGCTCATATAACCTGGTTGGCACCTGACCAAAAGGACCAATGGGGAAAGAAGATACTTTCAAATCTTGCGGGGTGGGGGAGGCTTTGTTTTGTGGTTCTCTTGGGAAGCAGAGAAGCATCAGATCAGAAAACTCCTCCTATAGACCATCCTATAAGTCTCTCATATTACAAAAATTGTAAGTAAAAGCCAGGCAAGGTGTGTTAGATTATCTTTTGTTCTGCTTGTGAATTTTTTACAATGTGGTAGGCGTGTCGGGAAAATGCCACGTCCAGTTTCCACTTTAGGGCTCTGAACTGCCGACGGGAATGCTCAAGTGTTAGCCCCATTCTGATTCTGGCCTGTTTTTTAAAAAGTTCATAACTGTTCATGTGTTCCTTAGGTATTTCAGCCGCCACCTCTGCTAAGGGTCCACTGAGCTGCGGCCTGAGCTCTATCATGTATTGGTCTGCAGAGATGCTGTACTCAAGGCAGGCCCTTTCGAAATTTTCCAAGGCGGCCTCGGTATCATCGCCTGCCTTGTAGATGGGGAACTTTCTGGGATGGGAAGCGGTACCTGGAGAAGGATTACTAGGGTTGTCTGGTATATTCTGCCCTTGCCATCTCTAACTCCAGTTCATGCTTCCTCTCTCTTTCCCTCTCCTCCTGAGCATGCTTCCGGGCCTCCCACTGGGCCTCCATAGCTCTCTCATGGGCAGCTTTTTCTGCCTCCATCAGTCTATCATGTTCTTTTGGTCTCTCATCAGCTTCAAATCTGGCTAATTCTAATTTCTTTTTGACGTCACTGTCAGTCATCCTAGCCTTTCTGTGTTTCATCTAGCCCAGAGGTCTCAAACTCAAATGACCACGAGGGCCACATGAGGACTAGTACATTGGCCCGAGGGCCGCATTACTGACACCTCCCCCCTGCCCCGCTGCCCTCAGCCCTGCCCCCACTCCACCCCTTTCATGAGGCCTCGCCCCTGCCCCACCTCTTCCCACCCCTCCCCTGCCCCATTCCAACCTCTTCCCTGAAATCCCCACCCCAACTCCACCCCCTCCTCCACCACCTGCAGGAGGGGTGTGGCGGGAGCTCAGGGCAGGGAGTTGGGGTGTGGGGTGCAGGAGGGGTGTGGGGTGCGGCGGGGGTCAGGGTGCGACAGGGGGCTCAGGGCAGAGGGTTGGGCTGCAGAGTGCGGCAGGGGGCTCAGGGCAGGGGGTCAGGGTGCAGGAAGGGTGCAGGGTGCAGCAGGGGGCGCAGGGCAGGGGGTCGGGGTCCGGCAGGGGGCACAGGACAGGGGGTTCGGCTGCAGGAAGGGTTCGGGGGGCAGGCTCTGGCCCCGGTGTGCACCGGGGGCAGGGCAGGGAGGCCCCCGCACTGCTCCGGGAAGCGGCCGGGACCTGGGGGAGGGGGGCACAGGGGTCTGTGTGTTGCTGTTGCCGGGAAGGCCAATGGGAGCTGCTGGGGACGGTGCCTGGAAGCAACAGCAACACACAGACCCCTGTGCCCCCTCTCCCCCAGGTCCCGGCCACTTCCCGGAGCGGCGCAGGGGCAGGACAGGCAGGCAGGGAGCCTGCCCTGCCCCCGGTGCACGCTGGGCCGGAGCCACTCTAGGTAAATGCTGTGAGGGGGACCGTGGGGAGCTGGTGGGCTGCAGGAAATAGCCCCACGGGCCGCGTGTTTGAGACCCCTGATCTAGCCTAACCCGAGAGCTAGAAAGAAAACAAAACAAAACAAAAAAAACACACTTGTGAATTCCCCTGCAGGAGGTTAACTACCCTGCCCTCAGACAGAGAACAAAACCTCCAGGTGCTCCCAGCTTTAAAAAAAAAAAACCTCCCTGCTTTCCAAGCAGCCAAAAGGAAAAAAAAACTGTCCTTTTAAAATCCTACTGTGCTTTTGATTCAAAATGATCCCACTGTGCTGCCACCAAGTCAGGGTTCCTTCCCCACTCTGAACTCTAGGGTACAGATGTGGGGACCCATATGAAAGACCCCCTAAGCTTATTTCTACCAGCTTAGGTTAAAACTTCCCCAAGGCACAAATTCTTTGCCCTTGGATGGTACGCTGCCACCACCAAGTGATTGAACAAAGAATCAGGGAAAGGACCACTTGGAGTTCCTATTCCCCCAAAATATCCCCCCCAAACCCTTACACCCCCTTTCCTGGGGAGTTTGAGAATAATATCCTAACCAATTGGATACAGAGTGATCACAGACCCAAACCCCTGGGTCTTAGGACAATAGAAAAATCAGTCAGGTTCTTAAAAGAAAGATTTTATTAAAAAAAAAAAAAAAAAAGGTAAAAATCACCTCTTGTAAAATCGGGATGGAAAATAGCTTTACAGGGTAACAAAAGATTCAGAAACACAGCAGAACTTCCTCTAGGTTTCGTTTCAAAGTTACACAAAACAGGAATAAACCTCCCTCCAGCAGAGGAAAAATTCACAAGCAGAACAAAAGATAATCTAACATGCCTTGCCTGGCTTTTACTTACAATTTTTGTAATATGAGAGACGTTTAGGATGGTTTATAGGAGAAGTTGTTTTCTGACCTGATGCTTCTCTGCTTCCCAAGAGAACACACAAAACAAAGCCTTCCCCCGCCCCAAGATTTGAAAGTATCTTCTTTCCCCATTGGTCCTTTTGGACAGGTGCCAACCAGGTTATTTGAGCTTCTTAACCCCTTACAGGTAAGGAGGAATTCTAGGTTACCCTTAGCTGTATGGTTATGACACCTACCAATCTGAATTTCTGACTTTTGTCTAACTTTCCTTGGTCTCTCCTCCAGCTTACAACAGCCTGTTACTAACCTTCAAACTTCCCATAAAGTTAAGTCTCCTTGAAAACTCAGGCACCTGCTCTATGTGAAAAAAACAGTTTGTCATAAAGCTATTAACAATGGACAGTCAGGGGCCCAATCCTGCTTCCATTGACAGTTATGGATCCAATCCAGCACCATTAATGTCAAAGGGTATTTTCTATCATTGACCTCAATGGGATCAGGAGCAGTCACTTTGGGCCTGGATTTCAGAGATACGGAGCGCCCATAGCTGGACTTCAACTGGAGTCCTGGGTCCTATGCCTGAGAGAGAGAAAGAGAGAAGTGGCTGCCAACTCTATTGGCCAACTCCAGCTTAGTAAGAACACAAGAGTCCTTCTCCAGATGACTCTTATAGAGCTATTCCTTTGGCTCAAGCAGTAGATGCAAATTTTTTTAAAGCTGTAGTCCTGGCTCTGTAGCTGTGCATGGTTTCATCTGGAGAGGTGGTAGCCTCCCACTGTTCAGGTTGATTTTAGTTCCCCATTATAACAACAAAATCCTCATGCTTTCCGGGTTTATGAACCAGTGACTGACAAAGTGTGGGTGCTTAACATTTACTTCACTGAGTACGTACATTCAGAGAGTAAAAGCCTTTAATATGTCTGCTTTTTGACATCTTTGCAAAATGTCTTTTTCCTTGTATTCCTCTATCCCTCAAAGACATGTTTTTAAATGACCGTAAGGTGCACTTTTATCACCCCATCAAGGACATCAGTGAAGACGGACCCCAGAACCATCAGCACAAGCTCCTAACACCTGAACTATTCAAGTTAGCTGGAAACCAATAGACAGCTTTTATCTTCTATGACTCTAGCTATCTGAGGGCATTTTTAGCGGGAAAAAATCCCTCCAGAACTACTATCAACACAGCTGCACCCATGGCAGCATCAGCAGGAGTTTGTGTAAACATGGTTTGGTGGTCTTCTTGTTCTTTTAATCCAAGTGTGAGTTACCTCTTATGTCATTTATGAAACCCAAGCACTTAAAAAGCAAGGGAATAAATAGCAAAGGTCATCCTAAGTTTTACATTGCCACAGACACATACAGCATTTCTATCAAGTATAACATGCATATGTGGTCACAATACAGTAACTGTAACTTTCCAACACCATCATTCACTGGTTATCCAAACCCCTGAGCTAGGTTGTGTACCTGGGAATTGGGCTGCTTAGGCTCATCCATCCGCCCGGGAGACTCACTTTTCGATCTGTACCGCTCAGTTACAGTAACCATGCTGCCAGAAGGACTAAATCTGTGGGGGTGAAGAGTGTAAATAGAGTTTTTAATGGCTATCGGTGCAGTATGGTCAGTACATGTACTGGGGGGCAAGGGAAGCACCTGCAGAGAATCTCTTCTTCCCCATCAGGAGACAGAATATGGAGCAGTGCAAATGTAAAAAACACCAGGACAGACTGGTCTGTTCTTCCAGTGTTAATATCTGAAATATGAAACTGGGTCAACCAACTTGATTCAGGAATAGGCAGATTTTTGATTGCTACTAAAATAAAAAGGGAAATGGGATAGCGCACTGACTCAGGCAGCACTGCAAGAGAAGAAACCTCTGCTCAAAAGGCACCTCCAGTCTTCCAACTCCCTGGGCAAGTATAGATGAGGGATGTCCCACAGATGATGCAGATGGCTTCAGGGAAGGAGTGGTGGAAGTTGTGTGTGGTGAAAAATGATGGATACCCAAGTGTCTAAGGCCAGCTGATCTAAGGAGAGGAATGAATCACAGAAATTAGAAATGAGACCTGCCCAGAGCTAGTTTGTTCCCTTGAAGGCCAGCCCAGGATCGTTACCTCCAGTATAGTTTTCAGAGCTTTTATAGTTTTAAATGATGGGGTATCCACCATTTCCAGGAAGCTGCTCTCCCAGAGGACTGGAGGGTTTGGGATGGGAGAGAAGAAAAGGAAGGGTGAGGAAAAGCACCACAAATACAGCTGGGACCTTTTGCTTTAATCAGAACAAATGAGGCAGTGGGATAGGGAGTTGACAACACAAATATAATCACTTCCTATAAATGAAGGCCTTCTGCTCTTACCAGAGAAACTGTCACATCAGGAAAGAACAGTGGTTCATCCAATCCCATGTTCTCTTTCTCAAAGTGGCCAGATGACAGCTGCTTCAGAGGAATATTTAACACCCTCCACAACACACTGAATTCTGCAATCCTGTACCACGGAGAGGCAGATTTCCTCCTGACTTACTGGGGGTGACCAGCTTGTTTCTGAAGGAGGATGGTTGATACCCTTATGATTTTACCCTATCTAGCCTGTAACTGGAGAAGCTGTTCTTATTCACCACACAGCAAATACTTGAGGACTAGTAACAGATATACTTTTAAAGAAAATCTGTCAGCACATAAGCCTAAGAATAGTGTGTGAAATAAACAGCGATAAATGATCAGGGAAGACACATGGTCAAGTGAGATACAAATATTGTGGAGTATGCTCTTCCAACCACACTCAGTAAACGGGTTAAAGGAACCTCACCTGTCAATCTCACTGCTGGTTGGCCTAACCACTTTGGCTCCTGATGACCCTAATGTGTAAGTCTCCTGGCCCATCGATCCGTGGCCTGTTGTGTCAATTACCATGGTCGTGACCTCCTCAGCGCTGCTCCCATCTTCTCCCGATGGCTGATTCTCCGTTCCCAGCCACTCCTCCAGGTTCTCTGTTTTAATGCGCACTCCTCCAAGCACCCTAACATCATCGTCGTTCCGTCCCCCACGGTCAGCCACTCCTGTCTCAACGTACCACTGTCCTGCTCTGTTAATCCGCAGTATGGGCTCCCTGCTCTCCACATCTGAACTCTGCTCAATTATCTGAGGGCTGGTGGACTCCTCAGGGGGGCTCAGCTCCCGAATGTCCAGCACAGTGCTGACCTGGCCTAGACGACTCCCTTTTGGAGTGTTGTGACGTGGGCTCAGAGAGCGGTTTAGATTTGGGGTAAGCCGGTGAGACTCTGGGGGTCTCTCCTGATGCTTTGTCCTAGTCTGACTAGGTTCAGCTTCAACCTCTGCCACATTAATTTTGAAGTGAATTCCCTCGAGGATCTGCGTGCATTTGTCTATAATGTGCTGCATCTGTAGGAAGCTGGCTGCCGTTAGGTAACTGATGATGTCAGCCAACTGCAGGCATATCCGCCCGGTATAACAAAAGGAAAGGAGCTGCTCAAAAACAGTGGGGTTCTTGATGACTGAAATGGAGACTGTGCTCATCTCGTTCAATGACATATGGTCACGGAAGTAGGGTGAGCTAGCAGCCAGCACCACTTTGTGAGCACGGAAAGCCTGTCCTTGCACATTGACCACTATGTCACACAGGCGGCCCTGCATGCGCAGCTGGTTTAGGTGGCTCAGGACAGAGTTGCTGAAGTCCGGGATCTCCAGCTGAATGTTTCCACTCTTCTCCATGGCTCCCCAGTTGTAGGTGTACAACCCAGCTGGAAAGAAAAACAGAATTAATAGGACTAGTGATAATTTGTACTTGGAGCACCCTTCACCCATGCATCTTGGGGGTGACTTGATTACAACGTATAAATACCTACATGGGGAACAAATATTTAATAATAGGCTCTTCAACCTACCAAAGAAACATATAACATGATCCATCGGCTGGAAGTTGAAGACAGACAAATTCAGATTGAAAACAAGGTGTACATTTTTAACAGTGAGGGTAATTAACCATTTACTATGGGCCATGGTGGATTCTCCGTTACTGCCAATTTTTAAATCAAGATTGGATGCTTTTGTAAAAGCTCTGCTCTAGGAATTATGTTGGGTAAAATTCTCTGGCTGGGGTTATGCAGGAGGTCAGACTAGACAATCAACGCTTCTGAAACTGTGGACCCCAAAGTGGGTCGGGATCCCTTTTTAATGGGGTCTCCAGGGCTGGCATTAGACTTGCTGGGGCCTGGGGCTGAAGCCTGAGCCCTGCCACCCAGGGCCAAAGCTGAAGCCTGAGAGCTTCAACTCTGGGTGGCGGGGCTCAGGTTACTGGCTCCCTGCCTGGGGCTGAAGCCCTTGGGCTTTGGCTCCCACTCCAGAGTGGCAGGGCTAGGGCGGGCTCAGGCTTCAGTCCCCCCTCCTGGGGTCATGTAGTAATTTTTGTTGTCAGAAGGGGGTCGTGGTGCAATCAAGTTTGAAAACCCCTGGACTAGATGATCACAACAGTCCCTTCTGGCCTTGTAATCTATGAATCTTGAAGCACTTTGATTTTCCCAGAGGTATTGTGAAGCTTGATTTACTAATGCTTGCACGGGGTCTCAGCTTTTGCATTCTGTGGATCACTTTATAAGATAATTAATCTTCTAATGGACCCACCTCCACAACTCCTGCTGCTTAGCTCTCAAAATTTCACTCTGTGGGCCTCCAAAATGAGCTCAGTAGAATTGATTTTCCCCACATGGAAAACATTAAAAATGGTTGAGACACTAACATATGTAATTGATTGCCTAATGGATGATAATAATACTTAGCACTTATACATCATTTTAATCTATAGATATCAAAGGACTTTACAAAGAAGAGCAAGTATCTTTATACCCATGTTCTACAGAAGGGGAAACAAAGGTGGAAAGTTGAGGCCTAAATTTCCATATGTCCACTAACTTTGGTTGCCAAGCTTCCAAGAATTTTTCAGAGGGCTCAACCCATATAACTTAGGTGCCCTAGGTGTTTCAGGTAGGGCACTCAAAATGGAGGCTCTCAATATTAGTAGACACTTCTGAAACTTGCCAAAAAAAAAAAAAAATCACACAATAAGTCAATGACAGAGGCTAGAAGAGAATCCAGTTCTCAACTGCAAGTCCTGTGCTCTATAAACTGGCCAAGCTCCCGCTGTGAAAATGAAAAATACAGTAGCTAACATTTTTATTTCTTTGGGCAAAGAGATGAATACAGCAAAATATTAATTGTGAATGATGATGGTCAATGACAACAAGTTAATTAGTTTTCCTTCCTTCATTTTTCTATGATCCTCGTGTATCTTGTTGGCAAAGTCTGAAAATGAGCCTTCGCCATATATGGTAAAAATTCCAAATGACCAAATGTAGATGTAATTACAAATAAGAATGATACAAAACTAAAACTATAGATGCAGACCAAGTAAATAGCACTCAATAAAAACCACTTGTGACATAAACAGGCTCCAACTTGGATGGCATTTGAAATGCTGATTAAGCAGACTACAGCAGGCATCAAAACAATTTTGGGGAATCCAGGGATATCCTGCCTTAGATTGTATCTACTCTGAGAAATCATGAAGTCAATGGGACTAGTCATATGCATAAAGTTAAGCATGTGTGTCTTTCCAGGATCAGGGACTAAGGCTTAAAAGGCACTTTGTGGGGGGTTTGTCCATGCACAGCAAAATACAGTACTAAGCTTGAAGCTACATAACTGTCTGTCATACCACAAAGATGTGCAAAACATTGCAAAACTGTACAATGCCGCAGGTAGAAATTTTGTGTACCTACAGGGTGGTTAAGATTAAAACCCATAAGTTGCACAAAGCAATTGTGCAACTTCACAGTGCCATATCTAAATGTTCTTCCTTTTTGTCCTGTCTTTTAAAAAACAAACAAGAAAATGGAGTGCAAAGGTCTAAGTTCATGCAATACTAAGGTTAGAATTTTAAACATGAGGAAATATAAAAGCCAGGGTCTTGATTGTACTCTTAACAGTGATGTACAAAGGAAAGTAAATTGGATGGGTATTCTTTTGTTTTTTCTGGTGTAGTAGGAAAGCCAAAAGGTGGGTTGATTTTTTTGGTTTTTTTTAAAAAGCATTTTATTCTGTTTTTTTGTATTCCTTCGCAGTATCTGGAATCTCAAGTCTTGTCTTCCCTGGTTTGTTGAAGGTGTCAGATGTTCATTATGAGCTCTCTCACTCCTTAACTGAAGGGACAACAATGCTGAATCTTTAACAAACGGATCCAACTGTTTGTAGGGTGTTTGAGTAAATTGGTGGTAACAAAAAAAAGTTTCACTTCCCTTCTTAATTAATCTGGTGTCACTTGTCTAATATCTATAGCCCTCATCCTGCAAACATTTAAACACGTGCATAACTTCACTCATGTGAGTGGTCCCATTAACATCAAGTTATGCACATGTTCAAATGTCTTCAGGATCAGAGGCCTGAAATCACATAATCCTACTATGTCCTCCACTTGCACATTTCTAATGTAAAAATAAATGGTATTTTTTCTCTTGTTAAATCATTCAGGTCTTCTTTCTGATCATAAACACAGAATGGCATTGCATCAGGGTATACTACACATCTGGGTCTGGAAGCCCTAGGGTTCAAGGCAGGACTATGATGGGAAGCAAGGGTTAATGGATAAGGTTCAGAAGCAGCTGGAGCCTATTAGCCTCCCAGGAAACCAGCCTGAGATATATGAAGGAATTTAGAGTAGCAGCCATGTTAGTCTGTATTCGCAAAAAGAAAAGGAGTACTTGTAGCACCTTAGAGACTAACAAATTTATCTGAGCATAAGCTTTCGTGAGCTACAGCTCACTTCATCGGATGCATTCAGTGGAAAAAAAGAGAAGGAAGACTCAGTTAGGTTTTGGCTATTGGCAGTCCTATTCTACATGCATGGTAAGGGAAGGTAACTATTTTTGGTAGAGCCTCTTAAAAACAATCTGTGAGTTTGTTTGCCTTAACCCTGAAGGCAGAGGAAAATCAGAACCTGCATTTGTTTTCCCCTAAGCAGGGTGGATTTGATTTAAATCACTAGTCAGGAAGACTCTCTATTGATTCATGGATTTCTACATAAAAGTGCATTCTTGTTGGTTGTTATAACCTTAATACATATTCTTCACAACTCAGAGACAGATGTACGTTTCATTTTTAGAAGGTACACACTATACATTTTTAAAGTGATTTATTTTGAAAAATTTTCAGATTAGTTTTACAGCGATATCAGAAAATGAATGATTGTTTATTTCATTTACCCAAGGTAATTGAAGCAGATATTTATGAAGTCATTGGGAGGTAAACTATCGCCAATTCAACATCTTGTTAATATTTGGAGGATTTTCTTGCCATGCTGTATTAGGAGGAGAACATCACCAGACAGACATTTAAATTGTTTTATTTAACTATTTCTCACCTCTATATATTATTTATTTAAAAGCATTTTTGCTGTTAACAAGCATGTTACCTCTGGAGACACACATCCATAGTTTGAGAACTGCAAAACAAAGCCTCTCTGATGGTATCTTCTAGACTGAGCACGGAGTCCCATTGGGTAGATAGACAGAGTAACCTAAATAATCTATATGTGAAGCCCCTGGAACCCCATAAGATTGGGTCCCTAATCCATGAACTATTGGAACTCATTTACAAAACTTTTCTTAAATATTACATGAATATATTGTCTCATACTATAGAATTAGAATTTATAATTCCTATTCCATGTAGAGATATCTTTGAGCTATAATGTATTTAATTAAAACTATCTTTAGATACGTTTTTTTCTTCAAAAAGCATGTTATCAAAAAAAATCTGATTTAAATTTAAAAAATCCAATTTTTTAAAAATAATTCATTTTTATCCACCCTGCCCCAAAGGCAAGGGGATTTAAAGACCTTTGTTTACATTGACTCTGAAGAGATGACACTTTAGGACTTGGGTAAGCCTAAGTGAGAACTTTTCGTTCTAGTTTGTCCACAGACAAGTGCCCCCCTTTCCCTTTGAAAATCACCTTTAACTTGCCCCCACTGTTTAGAAGGTAAATTCCAAGCAATAAAACATAACAAACATACACTGTATGAGTCAACGTTGCTGCGAGACCTCAATTTTTGCATTTTCTGGTATTAGTTCCTAACCTTAGTTTTGCAAAAAACCTGGGTAATGCAACTTAGAATCACAGAACTGTAGGACTGGAAGGGACCTCAAAAGGTCTTCTAGACCAGTTCCCTGCACCCAAGGCAGGACTAAGCTCTAGATCATCCTTGACAGGTGTTTGTCTAACTGGCTCTTAAAAATCTCCGGTGACTGAGATTCCACAACCTCCTTATGCAATTTAGTCCAGTGCTTAACCACCCTGACATGGGAAGTTGTTCCTGATGTCCAATCTAAACTGTCCTTGCTACAATTTAAGCTCATTGCTTCTTGTCCTATCCTCGTAGATTAAGGAGAACAATTTTTCTCCCTCCTCCTTGTAACAATCTTTTTGGTAACTGAAAACTCATTTTATGTAATAGAAAAAACTGAGTTTGTTTAGACTGGAGAAGAGAAGAATGAGGGGAGACCATTACATAAAAGGTTTTCCATCTTCCCTCATAGTTCATGTTTTCTAGACCTTTAACAACTTATGTTGCTCTTCTCTGGACTTTTTCCAATTTGTCCACATCTTTCCTGAAATGCGGTAACCTGGACACAATACTCCAGTTGAGGCCTCATCAGCACAGAGCAGAGCAGAGCAGAATTACTTCTCGTGTCTTGCTTACAACATTCCTGCTAATGTATCCCAGAATGATGTTTGCTTCTTCGTAACAGTGTTACACTGTTGACTCATATTAGCTTGTGATCCACTATGACCCCCAGATCCCTTTCCACGGTATTCCTTCCTCGGCAGTCATTTCCCATTTTGGATGCGTGCAGCTGTTTGTTCCTCCCGAAGTGGAGTACTTTGCATTTGTCCTTATTGAATTTAATTGTATTTACTTCAGGACATTTCTCCAGTTTGTCCTGATCATTTTGAATTTTAATCCTATCCTCCAAAACAATTGCAACCCCTCCCAGCTTGTGTATCATCCACAAACTTTATAAGTGTACTCTTTGTGCCATTATCCAAATCACTCAGAATACTGAACAGACCCAGAACTGATCCCTGGGGGACCCCACTCATTATTCCCTTCCAGCCTGACTGTGACCCACATGTGCACTCCCTCCAGGTCTTCACTTGAAGAGCCTTTGGAAGCATCAGCTGGGCAGTACTACTTGCAGGAGCATATTACATTTGTGCTCCAGATGCTGCAAAGGCTTCTGATGTATTTTAAAATACAATTTAAGGTATTGGCCTTATAACACTTGTTTTCTGCTTATATTAGAAAATGCCTCACTCTGAGGTGCCATAGCAGTTGAGGCCACCAATCTTTGCCTAAAGTTTGGGGGACAGGTTTTCAGTGATGGACCCTCAACTTGAACTTATCCCTTGTAGCACAGATACACTCTTAGTCATAAGAGAGCAGGCTTGATGACTTGCAGAGAAAGCTGCAAACCCTGTGTTGGAGGGGCTGAGTTGAACAGGAGAGGCTTAGTACTTGTGGACTGACAGTATTAATTGTTGGCACTGGCCAACTTGAATAGCTTTTGAACTGTAAAATGTAATTTGGACCAAGAACTCGTCAATTATGAACTAAAATGGGGGATCTTGTCACTCTAAATCACCAACTTTTTCCATCAACAGACAAAGCTTGCCAGCTCTTGTTTTTTAGCATGAGTATATTTGGTGTCTCAAAGCCTCAGCTCCTGGAGTTGGGTGATAAATGCAGGGGGCTTTTGGTTGTTTTTTTTTTTTTAAAAGCTTCTAGCTCTCATGGTTGCAAAGAAGCTCGAAATCATGAACTTTAAAGGCTCAAACAAGGCAAATAAAACCTCCAAGTTTATTCAGTTAAAATCTCATGGGGGGGGTGGGCTAACCATGACTTCTGAATGCTCAGAGTTAGCAATAGTAGGGCTCTCATCTTAGGTTTTATCAATACATCATGCAGAGTCTGACATTATCTGGAGACTAAAGAACACTTCATTCCTGATTCTCTTCAGAAACTCCTGCACAGGAGTAGGTGACAAACAGAAAGTTTCTGGTAGCAACTGCCGCTAGGCTAGCACGTGTGTAGAATGTACTGGGGGCAGTGGAGTGTCTCCAAACCACTGCCACCAATAGCCAGAGCACCAGATGGTGGGGAGCGCACAAGCCCAACATAACCAGCAGGAGTCACCTGAAACAGCACAAGATAGCATTTAATTCCCAAAACAGCTCCAGAACTAGTGCTTGAGCCAAACTTCTGGAAACAGCCTCTTAAAGACTTCAGCTCTGCTGGATTCACACTGATGCCAGCAGTCTGAGCATACTTCAAGTCACTGTTCTCTGCTTTCTTGATGCTACTTTTTTTTTTTCTCCTTCCCTCACCTCGGTCCCAGGGAAGCCACACACTTCTGCTCCAAGTCCAGCTCTCTAAGGGAGGGAGATTTGCACAAGAGATACTTCACACAACTGGGCTACAAAAGCTGCTGCTCTACTGTAACACCACGCTGCTTCTACCAGCTCTTCCAAAACTGGAGCCCCAAGGAACCACCTTCAGGGCTTTTCACTACAAACTAATTTCACCACTGCCTTCCATCACTTTCTCTGGAAGCCTGAATTCAGTCACCAACTAGTTAACTTTGGTGTCGCAGCCCTGTGTACTATTCTCATGTGTATTACCTGCATCTATCTCTTTGACCCCTGCCACTCTTTATCCTTCCCTATTGCACATCTTTGCCCACTACCACTTTCCTCCCCTGTGTCTTCCTAACAACCTGTGGTGCTTGCACTCTATCCAGCCTCCTTTACTCCAATCGCTCCAGTTCCATCAGAATAACACAACTCAAAGTAAAAGCTTTCACTGTTAAAGAAAAGTTAAAATGCAGAACCATTGTGGCCTGCGTCTATAACAAACAGAAGCAACCACATGATCTTATCACTGTAATCTTTTTCTTGGCTTCTACCTCCCGATAAATATTGTTATCCTTGCACTTTAATAGTAAGTTCCTCAAGGAAGGGACTGCTTCTTATGTTTGCAACTGCAACTGCATGCTTGTTGTGCTGTATAAATAAACATTTGCAGGGGGTGTTCCCCAAGGTGAAGTAGGTAGGGTCTTGCCCTTCATATGGAAGTGGAGTAGGGTAGAGGGTGAGAGGACTTGTGCATCAGGGTAGGGGTGAGAAGGTCTGCCTCTCACAGCTTGCATGGACATTGCACCGCCACCCATGCAGGCAATTGTCGTGTGGGGGTTTAGTCAGGGCATGTCTTGCCATCTAATCCTACTCGGAGCAGGTCTAGAGCACACACTGACTAAAAACACGGGTGGCAGTCCATGCCTTATATACACAAGCAGTCACATGATCACTGGCCCTGCCTGGTGGCTGTGCACTTAAGGGAGAATTCCCCCAGAAGTCTAGTGTACACAAGACCACAGAGTAGAGTTACTGCTAAGGAGGATTTCAAGGCTGGCGGGTGGCTAAAGAGTTTGCGGGATGGGGATGTCCTGCCTTTTGCTAGGAAAAGAGCAGACGTGCTTCTCCTGGTGGGATAGAGGGACAGCATCTCATTGGGATGCGGCTGTGGGTTCAGGGACAGCCCTGGGGTGGGGGAGAAGTACGATGGGTAGGAGAGTGCTGGGGTGGGGGGAATGAGGGGAGCTTGCTCTTGGTGGGCTGGGGTAGCCACTCACAGAGGGGCTAAGGAGTAGTTGTCCTTGGTGGGTCGGTGGTGGGGGTGGAGCGGCCCTAGGGATAGGGGGGAGCTGACCCTCATGGGACAGGGCTGGGAGTGGTGGGGGTGGGACAGCTCCTGGGAGGGGGAATGTGGCGGGGAGCTGCTCCCCATGGGACGGGGCTGGGGCAGCCCGAAGGTGGTGTTGAGATAAAGGGGGAGGCAGCCCCCGGGGGGGTGCCCCGCCCATAGGGCGCTGCTCCGTGCGGGGAGGGTGTCCCTGGGAGCACTGCGCTGCCCCGGCAGGGGTCTCTGGGCCAGGGAGGGGGCCTCCTGCGCCGACCCCACGGGGGTGAGAGTGACAGCGCCCCGGGAGCTGGGCGGTTCCAGGCCTCGCCTCGTCCCACCCCGGGGGGGCTGCCGGACCCCGAATACAGCAAGTACCTACCTCCCGGGGGTGGGAACGGGCCGGAACACCGTCCCGGAAGCGAAACCCCCCGAGCGGGCCGCACCCCGGAAGAAAATTCCTCCCCCCTCTCCTAGTTCGTATCCCCCCGCCCCCCCGGTGCCCCGGTAAGGAGCGGCCGCGCGTCATGTGACCACGCCCATTGCAATGCGGCCGCCATGGCTCTTTGGGGGTGGAGCCTGGCTTCCGTCATCGCCACTGCTCTGTGGGTAGCTCCTATGAGAATAGAGTTCCGGGTCCATGATTGCCGCTGCACTGTCACGTGACAGCGTGTCGAGGCGGACATATATACCGCTGGCACCGCCTCCCTCCTTCCTTTTGCTGAGCGGGCCCCGGCGGGGAGGTGGCGGCGCGGCGCGGCTGGGTGAGTATCACGCGCCTTTACGCCGCTCTGGCAGCTCGATGCTGATCAGTGCCGACGCCATCGCGGTCCATGGGCGGTGTGGCCCCTCTATTGGGGGGGCTTTGCCGCCGATGGATGCGGGCTGAGGAGGATGGAGGTGGATTGTTCCCACCCCCCCCCCGCCCCGCCTTGTGTGAGCTCCTGCTCCTTGGGGGGCGCGACGCTTAGGTGGCTTCATTGATGTTAATTGGGGGCCCGTGAGGTCTGGGCAGGCTGGCGCACCAACGTCCCTACCCCCCCCCCCCGGGTCAGCCTAGCGGCTTCGCTGAAGGAGGAGCGTTGTATGCGGGGGGTTGTAGTGAGCGTCCTTGCGCTTTGCTAACCTGGTGTAGGGATGGCTTTGGTGGACTCCGACTATGAGGCCATCAGAGGCGCACGGCATTGTAGGGTCTTGGATTGGACTATGGGGCTGCACGTGGTGCAGTGCCAGGAGAGCTGGACTTTGCCCTTAGCATCCCCAGTCTGGGAGGGTCTTCAGTAGAGCCTCAAGTGACTCTAGAGCAGTGGTTTTCAACGTATGGTTTCTGGGTGGTGCCTAAGATTTCCAGATTTCAAAATGTTTTATGTTGCTGCAAATGAAAAACGCCTGCTTTAGAGAAATGCCTGCTACTAGACTGGCAAAAGCAAGTCTTTTGTGTGTGGGACAGTCCTTGGTTCTCAAAAAGTAGCCCATTGCTTTTCCTAAAGCTGTTCAGACACAGGATTTTTAGGCCTGAGCTCTACGAACGAGCAACTTGTAGGAATAGATCAAAAATAGTGTTGTGGCCCCGTTCCTCTATTTTATAGTCATGTGTAGGCTCATAGTAGATCACTAGAGCTTGCTGTAGCTTGGGTGCCCATTGCTAGCTTCTCAGTAGGAAGTAGCTTGGGGAGTGATTGGCCTTCTTTCCAGCCCATGTGGTAAAGGTTGAGATGGAACTGGAAAGATGTAGCATCAGTGTAGTTGGAAGGTCGAACGCCCTTAGAGTAAGTTGGAAAGAATACCTGAACATTGCATGAGAATACCTAGTGGAAAGTGTTGAATCTCTCCTACTGTATGTAGGAGAGCAAGCAAGTCTGTACAAGCATGGTTGTTCCTTAATAATAGTTACCAGGCCCAGATTTCCTTTTTTTTTAATGGGATAGTGTTCTGTCTTAGTGCAACTTGCCCTCATGTACATGCACATGATGAAAACCATGTTGGTAGGGACATCTGAGAGTATGATGAATACCAACATCTCTGAGCTGGACATGGGGTGACTTCATCGCTGGGCAATGACAAAAATAGTTTGGAGGTAGTATGTTCTAGTCCCGTTTAGACAGGCAAAATCAAATTGTATTAGTGATTGCCTGAGTGTAACTAGGTGCTGTATAAAGTTGTAATTGCATTGGAGAAGGAATGGTGGGTAATCATTAATGCCGGGGGGGTGGATTTTCTTGCAAAAAAACCATCTAGTTGGCATTAACTGGCCCTTTTAATAGTCTGAGACCTAACAATAGCGCCTCAGACTATTAAAAGGGCCAGTTAAACAGAACAGGTTTAAGTGAATTTGTCGTGCAGTGTGCTGTAGCTGTTCTGGAATACTTGCTTTGGAGTCCTATTAGTCTTGCACCTTTTGTCAACCTGACATAACGTTTTCAGACTATCTAGGTAGGCTTTTTTCTGAGACTGAGGAAATTATGTAACATACATTATATCTTTCTGTTTTTAGCCATGATACATCAAGCAAGTTCTTCCCTCACTGGTAACTATAAAACTGGTAGGAACCGCTTTTCAAATGTAGGGTTTAACTGGGGAACAAATACTACACCTGTACTCTGATATAACACGAATCCAGATATTACGCAGTAAAGCAGTGCTTTAGGGGGTGGGGCTGTGCGCTCCAGTGGATCTATGCAAGTTCGATATAACACGGTTCCACCTATAATGTGGTGAGAGTTATAAGCACCTGGCTCCCGAGGACAGCGTTATATCGGGGTAGAGGTGTATCTGGCCTAATACAGGTCCATTTGAAGATGTCTGGCTTGACTATTCTTAAGAAATCTGGAGTGCCTGCTGATCTCTGGAGATGCAGGGCCAGTGGTGTTCCATGAATCTTCCAATTGCTGTTTACATAGCAAGTTGCTCTTAATTGGCCCTCTTCTGTGGTTGTATGGGCAGTCCCTCACCCTGCTGTGGGTGAAGAACACCATTCTTTCTCTAGGCTTTAATATCTCCCTTCAATCAGTCTAAAGAGATACTCCATTCTGCAGTTGTTCTTCCCTCCACTAGTAACACTTCTGAAGGGGCTAAACAATGGCTTGATTTTTGGGACAGGACACTGGCTCACATTCTGACTTTTAGGACAGTCACTTCAGATGCGTTTTCTTCATATAGGCCTATAACAAAAGGTGTTGAGTGAAAGATTGCTATTAAACTGAACAGCCAATGATGCTTTAAAGATAAGAGTAGTGGACAGAAGTGATTTCTGAGAACTCTGTTCTGAGGCTTTATTCAGTGCCTGTTATCTTTGATCTCAGACTTTGTTTTACCAATGCCTGATTTGGTTTCTTTGTTTCTTTTGTTAGCAGACCTGATGCCACTTGCTAAGGTAAAATCCTGTTTAATTTTTTGCATCATAAATGAGGAACAAGGTTACTTAAAGATAACTAAATGTAAATTACAGTCTAGATGCCTTATTTTTTAATCCAATCAGTACGCTAACTAAACATTTCCAGCAGCCAAATACCAGACTTTCCTCTTGTGCCACAATGATGACACTTATTTGCTACTCTTGACCAAGAGAATGATGAGCGCTCAACCACCTGTATTTCAAACTGAGGCACAACGCTGTTAGGAACAGTTTCATCTACTGATGTCTGAACCTGCTTCAAAACTCTCCTCTCTTTTTTCTCAGGATTTAATGGAGGAAGTTGGAAGCCCCAGAGAAGGAAGGTTCTCTGGTAAGAAACAGAATAACTCCTCTTGGAAAAACATCTCTATGGCCCATTCATGGGTTTCTCCTTCCTTTATGGAGCTGAGGCAGTGCAATAGCAAGGGTGGTTATGGAACATGTTTGGAGTTCTGCGTCTGCTTAATACAGTAGAATAAGTCTAACTCTTGCTATTACTCTGAGACTCTTGGGTTGTCTTCTCTGAGTAGCTTTCTCTAGAGCATCTTTTCATTCAGAGCCACTCCCACCTATTGGTAGATCACACTAACTAAACCAAACTCCTTATTAGAAAAATAGCTTAGAACCAGTCTCACCAAAGCCGATACAGTGATGACAACATAGTTCAGCAGAATGCACAGTGACGAACACAAGCTTTGTCTTTCGCTCCTATCTGATGTATCTGGCTATCATGTGATCCTCCCCAGTACATATTAGAAATGCTAAAATGGTAATGGTGCCTAATTTTTCCTTTTCATATAGGCCTGAAAGGTGAATCCTGATGATGAAAGGTAAGTAATTAATCCTGACCTGGGCAGGTTGTTCCTCTGGCAAAAACTGCTGATTAAAAGTGATATTTGACTAGTAAATAGTGTCTGGGGAAGAAATCAACTCTAAAGAACTGGCTTATTTTTGGGATGCCCAAGTCTTTCATGCACCTCAGACAAGGAAGTAACTTGACTTGCTTTGTATTTTCAACTGCCATTCATCTTATCTCCAGTGGAGGCTGTATATGATGATAACATAGTTCAGCAGATGGTCTATGAAGAACATGCTGTACTGTCTTTCGCTCCTATCTGAAGCATCCTCCAGTTGCTTGTGATTTACTCTGGTAGCCAGTTCACATGGAAAGCAGGGGTCATAAATGTGCTCTCCCCTTGTCTACCAAAAACTGCTCTGAAGAGTGGCTTAGGCAAAAAAAAAATTTGCTAGTCTTCTCTAGTAACTGGATTAGAGAGAAACTCTCAAGGGGTGGGATGGGGGAGAGAGTCAGTTCCCACAAATGAATCTAGAAAAGGTGAAGCACAGATTATATTAGGAATAACTTGGTGCAGAAGTTATTTTTGTGCTTGGATACTATTGGGTGTCCTAAAATGCATTAGATCAAATAGCTTGGTTTAATAAACTTCTGAAGTTGATGGATGTGCAGCTAGCTATACAGGAAATGCTATGTAAAGCCACTTCGCCACTCTGTTTTGACCATTAAACTAGAACAGTTAGCATAGTAACACTACAAATCTATCTAAGCACTTAAATATAAGACACTTAAGTGTGTCTACACAACAGCGTAAGAAAAAACTTCTGTCTGTAGATACTCACTTCAGAGGTCATGGTTAAGTTGACTATCTTTTTTTAATCCATCTAGCTGCATCTGCGCTGGGAGTTAGGTCAAGTGCTCCAGTAATACTCATATCTGTAGTTATTTATTGTATGGTAAATGTCTCTTCTTTTACAGGCTGTGTTAAACAGATTGGCTTTGGATGACCACTGCCTAATCTGTGGAGATGATGATTCAGCTTGAACACAGTTCCATATTGTTTGCAGGGAGAGTAGAGCACAGGACACTTCACACACAAGGTAACTTTGAAGGACGCACTTTCTAGTGTAAATACTACATATTCCACACTGTCCTGCAGTCATCTATTGAATCTGCTTTACTCTTGCTTTGCTTCTGTCCTGTTGATTATTTGAATGTTGGCAGTAGGAAACCTTGAGCTTTAAAGTGGAGTGAAGCCAGGAAGGGGAAAATATATGGAACAAACAAGAAATGTAGTATATGAGGTTGATCTAATAGCATCTGATCCTATTAGACAGTTTTCACTAGGACTCCTCAAATGTTTACAACGAATATTCTTATAGTATTAAACCTGCTGTACAGGGGGGCAGAAATCCTAAAACTGAACCAAAACTTGGAGTACTAGGTTTAATTCTTGACTCTGCCATACGCTCCTTCAGTATTGGGTAACTTGCTTCATCTCTCGATGCCTTGTTTCTCCATTTTTATGGATAGAGAATAACTTTTGCTTGTTGAAAATGTAAGCAGTTCAGAACAGGGACTGTCTATGGTGCCTAAACACTCCCTGGTAGGTTAATGTTTTTAGCAAGCTGATTTGCATTGTACAGTCATATGGTGTACAACTCTCCTTTAAAATGCAGGAGGCGTAGCTTTAGGGGAAATGGCCACATCAGTATTTTAATCTGGCAACTAGGTTTAATTAGGGTAAGTGCAGAGTACTTCTTTCCCAAGCCCTAGCCATTTTATCCTGCTGTAACATTTGAAGTTAACTTACTATTGACTAATTGTGGGAACTATCTGTTTTTAAAATCTTTGTCCATAAGACTAAGAGGCAGCTCTAACAGAGACAAGAGTTGCAGAGGAAGACTGACAGATGCAAGAAGCTGTTAAGTTAGGGTTTGCTCCAGAGGGAGCCCTGTCCATCTTTATTTGGGTGGTGGGCTGATGTAATCTAGACCTCCAGGCTTGTCTTCACTGCAGAGTTAATTTAGGGGCCACACCTGAGTAAGACGCTTCCTGTTCACATACAGCCCTGTGGTCTGAGTGGTACTTTACACTCAAGCTAGCTGGCCTGTCCTGTCCGAGGGTATACCCTAATGCCCTGAGTGCTGCTTATCTCCTTGCTTTGCAGTCAAGATTTGGCTAAACCAGCTGAGTGCTGATAACCATCCAGTGCCTTCCCATAACTTCCACCCTAAGTGCTCAGGACAGACAAGTTCTCCAACAACTCACTGTGAACAAATCATAGCCATGGGATATGCACCCAAAAGTCCTAGCAACACACAAATGCAGCACCAGTGTGAACCAGTAACTCAAGATACAGCTTTGTAGTTTGGCTGCTTGCACCCAGTTTAAGCCAACATAGGAGATCAGCAGTCTAGCACCTGAGTTAACCTCATCAATGAGACCTATCCAGGAAGGGGGCAGTAAAATAGTTCCTTGAGGGTCTCCTAGGATTGGTGCAGGATTCTTAGGCGAGTACCCATCTCCTACATTAGAGAGGATGTCATGTGTAATGGAAAACAGGCTGTCTCTGTACTGTAGATGATGATGAATCAGGTCTCTGATCCTAATGAGGATAAAATTGACTAAACTCTGATACAGTTGTATAATTAAATACTATATAAACTTATTATGAGCCCCAGCTAATACCAGCTTTCTCTTGCAGGCTTCGAAGGGGTGCTTGGGTATCCTGTAAGTACTATATTTTTAACTTCATGGGAATAACAGAGTAACTAGAGATGGGAAAGGGATGGGTCTAGAGTATGCCTCTAAAATAATGAGGTTCTAGCTATAAAATCTGTTGAAGTAGCTAGAAATATCAATGCTGGTTGTTTGTTGCACATCACATCCTAAAATAGAAGGATGGGAGGAGAGCTGGCAAAGAGCCCAACACTAACAACTTAGCCCATGTAGCAAACATGTACAGCTCCCATTGGCATGAGAAAACTGTTTCTCATCTGCTACTCCACCATGGCCTATCCTCGCCACACAGATTTTTAGTTAAAAACCGATTGTTGCCCAGTCCATGCAAGCAGCCTGTATGATGAGGTGCAAATAGACTGACGCAATCATGGAGGTCTGTAATTAGCTCTATCTGACTTCGGGCATCTGGCTTGGATTTTCCTGTTTCGTGGTTGATTCTCTGGGTTGTCCTGACACTTTGCTTCATTCCAGGACTGGGATGACTTGGATGTACGGAGTGCTGCTATTAGCAGTGGTAAGTAATCAGTCTGCTTAGTTTTGCTTTGGTTTTAACTTGGCTATTGACCTAATGTAATAAATTGTTCGGTTCCCTGCTACAGTCTGGTGACCAGATGCTGGCATCTAAGGGTCTCATGCAGTATGGTGGAAGTCATACTAAAGTTCTTAAAGTAGAATTCCTGTGAGGTTTCCTGGTTTGTCCTTTTCCTTTTTCTGCCACGAGATTTCAGGTACTGCTAGCCTGCAGGGCTCACTTAAGGATAATCCAAGAGTGCTTCACCAGAGACTTAATGCTTTGTTTGATACCTGTGGATAAACCGCTACAGTGGATTTTGAAGACTTTTGTGTTCTAGGGAATCGTGGAATGTTGTAGGCTAATCCACATAGCAGCTGTCTCCTACAGGGTTTATAATGATGTTGAGAAATGTCTGACCTGAAAACAGTATGTGGACTACTTTATTACTGAAAGACCCTGTAAATGAAATAATACAGAACTAAAGACACTATTTTACTTTATGCAGAATTGCTTCCTTTTTACTCATGGAGAGCTGTCAAAAAGAAACTAATGCTCTCACTTCTGCTTGTTAGGTCCTGGCCCTGTCTTGAATAAACTTGGTGAGTATGTATTTTTGTTTGGACCAATCAGTTGTTAACTTGCAGCTAGTAGGAGCATTGTTGTAACCAGTGATGAAATTAGATTCTGCCAAATGAATGTCCATGATATTACTCCTTTCCGTTCCATTTATTCTGAGGTTACATTCTTGCTCTGTCAAAGTTAGAAATGGGAAAGGGAGTGTCCTCTAAACTTAGACTGGCCCACTGAAGCTTGGAGTTGAGGGGATTTTAAAAATGTATGGAATACATGGAGTGTGTTGTGGCTTCTCAACTGTTAGAATTCTTTAACTTGTCCCTTTTGCTCTAAAGGTTACCCATTTCAATGACACTTATGTCTGGATGAACATCTCTCAGATGACAGGGTCTGAAACCTCTACTGCTTAGGATGGGCCAAGGAATGATCTGTTCACACCCTTAAATGATTAAATTAACCAAGCTTTTAAAAAGCTGGTTCATACTTCACTTGGTCACTTCTGCTAGTCTTCCACACTGTAGATCGAGAGGAAATTTATAGTCTACCTAGTTTGGGTTACTAACTCGTGTTATAGTACACTTTAAACAACTTTCTTCCCCCCCATAGGCATTAATATTAGAAGATGACAGATGATCAGGACAGCATTTCAAGTGAGAGGTTTGTATCTTACTCTGTTCCTTTGTGGGTTATATGTGACAAAACCAGTTGGGTTTTAATCCTGTCAAAGTAACGGCATTGTATGATGGAACCAACCTTTCATTGTTGTGCTTGTATGAAGCTCAGTGGCTTCACTTAAATACTGTAGTTTTAAACTCTGGTCCTAGAAACAGACATGTACTGTTGTCAAACTCTACCACTATCAAGCATGCAGAGATTTGTGGTAGGTGTGCCTCTAAACAATTAAGGAGCAAGCCCTTGTTCCAAGATACTAGGGCTTTCAAAAACACTCAATTTTAGCCCAGCACTGTTCCCACTATAGTCAGTGGGGGAAAAACTCCCATTAACTTAAATGAGAGCAGAGGGGGGCCAACACAGAGCACTCGCAAAAGATGTTAATAGGCTTGTATGGTGGGACTTACCCATCTTGAGATGCTCCTAAACATTCTTCTGTTTTATTACACCTCCTGCACCCCCTTTAACACTTGTACCATAGAAGCAACATGGGAGTAGCTTTCAAAAAGCTTAAATTCCTACAATAGCACTTTGGGCCACTCTGTGCAAAATGGTGATGGCAACTCTTGCAATAGGGTATTTCATGGGGTGAATGTTTACACACTTTCAGGGATGAAATGACTAAAGCTGCATAGTACACATCTGTGCAGAACCTTGGGCTCCTGGGCCCTAGCCACTGGACCACAGTGATGTGACTCCTTCAGACTGAGTCGAAGCACAGCACTTGGAATCCAGATTAAAATCTACTAGGATGCCTTCCCTGAAGCTGTATAATATAGGTTCCCTTCCCTCTTGCTTTCCTTTACAACTGAACAAACAGTGATGCTTGGCTTGGGGCTAGAATTGAAGCCTGTGATGACTTAGATTATAAGAGTAGTGGACAGAACAGGTTTCTGAAAACTTCACTCTGAGGCTTTGACACTAGTAGTATGTCTGCAGGTGGAGCAAAGAATGACATGTAACATTATGAATTTTTTTCCCCCCTCCAGAACTGGAGCGCACACCTGGAAAAAGGATCACTTTGCTGAGGTAACTCTTCACTTGAACTTGGAGTAGATTCTTCGCTCTAGATCTCTGGCTGCCAGTGGAAGCACACACTATGCTAGATATGTGCATTGACTGAACTGTTTGCAGGCATTATGAGCTGCTCTGCTTTAGAGTTGGGTTCTGGCAACTGTCCAGAGCTGGGAATGGGTGGCAGCCAATGGATCACTTGATTATCTGTTCTGTTCATTCCCTCTGAAGCACCTGCCATTGGCCACTGTCAGAAAACCAGATATTGGGCTAGATCAGTGGTTCTCTAACTTTTGAATTGGTGACCCCTTTCACACACAGCCTCTGAGTGCGATCCCCCCTTACAAGTTGAAAACACATGTTAAAATATTTAACATGATTATAAAAGCTGGAGGCAAAGCAGGGTTTGGGGGTGGAGGCTGACAGCTCACACCCTCTCATGTAATAACCTCATGACCCCACCCTATTTGAAAACCCTGAGGTTAGATGGACCTTTAGTCTGACCCAGTATGGCTGTTATGTAAATACTAAAGCCACGCAGCTCTCTGCACAGACCCAAAGCCATAGTGGACTGTAGATGTTTCTGAGAATGTAGGGCTGAGGCTTTGCTGCTTATGGACGTCTGTAATGTAAAAGTATAAAGAGGTGAAACTTCCTTCTAGTCTCATGACTAAAAATGACCACACAAGAATTACCAGACATGACTTGATATGGTAAGTTGGCTGTTGCATTTATCTGACACGTCAATTATGAAAATGATATTCTAAGACTCCTCTTCCACTTCAGTTTTATGAAACCTCCACTCTTACAATTGACCAACCTCACTGCTAGTTATCACCAATTCTAAAAAGCAGAGACATCCCAGAATAAGTCACACCCAACCCAACATCATTTCTCCATCTCTGCTATATGGTTTGACCTAATATTTGTTTTTATATGCTAGCTGTCTCAGTGGCAGGTTGGTGCTACAGTGTGACTTTCAGCCCTCTGTATTGAGGGTGAGAGTGTATTGTTTAGCTCCAGCGGCATTGAAGAAAACTGTTCCACTGCTGACTATAAAGTATATTGGTGAAATGCTGACGTGTGTGTACTGTTAATGATGATTTTGTTGTAAACAATGGGAATCTCTCTGAAAGAGAATGAGGAGGAGTCTTATGCTGAAACAGTACAGAACTTCAAGCTGTCTCTACTAAAAATCAGATTCTACCAACCAGAACCTGTTGGTAAAAACTGAATTATTATGTTACAGAGTAAAGCTGGTCAAACATTTTATGAAGCAATCAGCCCACTGCCTGCCTGAGAGGTAAGGATAAAGCAGAGTACTGGGAGCTTATTTTAAAGATCAAGGTGACTCAGGCTTAGATTTTTGGAATCTCTTCTTGAGGGTCCATTGGACTGTCTGACTCCAATGCAGTTTAGTGAGGAGTTACTGAAACCTAGTGCTGAGACAGATCTGCTTGGCATATATTTGACCATATCTGCTAGCTCCCATGACACTCTTCCTTGTGTTAATCCTGCAGTTCCTGTTCACCAGTGGGGATGTCAGGAGAATTCTGACTCACACCAGCAGAAATGGTCAATTAGTTCTTTATGCAGAATCATTATTAGAAAACAGCTAGACTTCCATGGCTGACCATTAGAAGGACAGTATCTGTCTTGCTTCCATTAAAGCTAATGGGAGCAGGATTGGGCCTCTTCTGCTGGTGACAGTAATACAGTCTGGTCACTGCAGTCAGACAAAGCTTAGAAGCCCATTTTAGTCACATTCTACCTTGGAGTAACTCTGAATCAAAGCACTGCTTTAAAGCAAGCACATCTTAGTCTGTCACTAACTTCATGCTCCCACTTTTTGGGAGATGTAACAGTAGAGGGATAACAGCCTGAAACTAAACACCCCAGTGAATGAAAGTGCTATTAAGCTGATACAATGATAACATAGTTCAGCAGAATACACAGTGATTAACACAGCTTTGTCTCTATCTGATGTATCTGGCTACACCTGAATCCTGACATTAAAGGGCTCTTGTGGTCTTAAGTGGCTACATGAAAACAGCACCACCTTGTTCCATGTTACCTGCTCCTCGGGGGCAATTAGTATGTCCACCTGAAGCATAACTTGCCCATGGGTGGTTGAAGGCAGAATTCTATAATCAGGGGCAATGGCTTGGCCTGCAGAACCTCTGGGGTGAACCTTTTATAAAGGACCTATCCTGGTGTTGAGCCTTGTAGGTCCAGTCAAATGCTGTGAAATGATATAAAAATACATCTGGCTTTGCTCAGGAAGGTTCCTTTGCAAAACTAAGATCCAGTTGTCTGCTAGCAGTTAAGGTCATCAGACTGTTGCACTTGCATTTTTACAGTGCAGGTTCTAAAATGCAGATGGGAAAGGGCACTTGTAACCACTGATTAAATTTGATTCTGCCAAATGAGTTCCAGTGGTGTAAACTATTTCTATTCCACTCTTGCTGAGGTGGTGCTACTGATGGGAGAATTCTTAATTAATGTCCATTTTCCTTCCCTCTCTTTAGGGAGCAAGATTGATTTGAATGGACAGTTGAGGAACCAGAAAGGTGGGTATCACTTTACTCGCATTGCTTCAACACTTAACAGTGAAATGCTGCTTTGATCCCTTTGCTGGAATGGAGAGATGATGATTACAGCCTTAGCTTGAACTCTCTCTCTGATGAGTGATGGAAAATCTAAGGTCTGATCTGTTCCTGTCAATAAATCTCTTGTGCTTTAGAGTTCGGTGCTTCACGCTATAACAGTTTTTTGTCTCTCCTTGCAGCATAAGGAGTCTCTGGATACACATTCTGATGTCTTAAGTTTTGCCCCCAGAAGATAGTGCCCTTGCTTCTGAGGTGCTTGGGCATAGCCATGGAGGGGCCGGAGTCAATCCTGCAGCAGTGGGTGTGTCAAGCTGAAGGGAAGCAGTCTCTCTGCCACCCCATTTAGACTAAAAGTTTGGCCTGGAGTCCTTGTGCCACAGTCCTGCCTGCACTCGGAGCCTACCAGGACCATTTAAGGGGCTTGCAAGCATGTTGAAGGGGTGGATGCAGCAGTGCCAGGATCCTTGCTGTGTTCTACCCTTGCCACAATAGGTGACATCTTCTGGATGAAGAGTCCTCTACAAATTTGTGCAGAAAAGATTTAAGTTCAGAATGTCTCGCAGAAGCATGTTACAAGTAGGGCAACATTGACACACACACACTTTGGTCTCTTCTTAAATATCCAATTAAGAAACTAGACCTGCTCTGAACCTGAACTTTTTTGCCATATGTGGTTTTTAACCAGCACTAAGTAGACTTTAGCAGTAAAATAACAGCTGTCTAAAAAATGTGCTAAAATAAACTCATCAGAAATGACTAGTCTGGAGTAGTTCAGTGTATTATGTATGAGTTCAAAGCCTCAATGCGGGTTTTCTTTAAAATAGAATGCACCCTGAACTTAAAACTGTTTTAGGTCTAACCCTGTAGACTCCCTGCTATCAGTCTGGAACTGATGTGAATGTAAACAACCTATACCAGTTAGTACAGCACTTTCCGTACAGAAGGAGGGAAAAATCTGAAAAGGAAATGGGCTTAAAAATAAGATGGGCTTGACTCACTTCAGTAGTAGTATGTGCTATTGGGTAACTTGAGTTACATTCCACATCCAGCTGCTTCCACCTCTTTGCTGCAATTGGCAAATGTGTGTGCTGCTAGTGTCCTCTCACTAGCGCTGCTACTACAGGGAGGGGGATAGCCATGAACATGAGGTGATATGTTCACAGCCCTCCCTTAGTGATAGCCTGATTCGGATCTACTGCTTAAGAGTGCCTGTGGGCTAAAACAAAACTCGAACTGATTATACTTAGTGTGAACAAACTGACTGGGTTGATGCACTCTCTGGCACAGACCTGTGTACAGTATCTAGCGCAATAGAGCCCTGTTCTAGGAACTCTAGCTGCTACTATAATATTGATCCAGTCTCTAGCCAAGGCCCCCTGGCTGCTGCAAATTGACAGGCCAGGGTGAAGCTCTACAAGCAGATCTGAAAGAGATGCAGCAGATCTTCAACAGAGCTTTGTGCGGCATAGGTGCTGCCACAGCTCCCGACTTGAAGTCGTTTCCATCACATAGGGTTTACTATTTGGTTCAATGTCTCTCACCACCCCCACTATAAAAATTGTTCCAGGGGTTTGACACCATGTGTTCACATATAAAACACAGCACAGGAGCAGAAGACATTTATTTTTTGCTCCTAAATATCATTGCACAGGATAAGTCACTCTACAAAAGCCATTCTCACTGTTAAAGTAGAGCAGTTAATAACAGAGGTACATGTATTTTATAAAGAGAAAAGGTCATTAGGAGACTAGTGTGTAAATGAAAGATTTGGCACTTGTAAATCTCAGTAGTTCCTCAGCTAGAGTGATTAATACCATACTCAGTGTAAATGAAAAACACCTGTTGTGCAAATGGTTAATTATCTTCCACCTGAAGACAAACAAGTGGCACAAGCTGGTATATTTAATGCTAGCACCAGTAGCTTCCTCCAGTGTGTATCCACCTGCCTGGGTCATTGCCCTGAAAATAACAGGGTTTAACAATTGCTGTCAGTTCCAAAAATGGGTGTCCCACTGCTGAGGACAGGATAAAACAAGCATCCACAACAGTGACTACACTTGGATGTAAGTGTCATCAAACCTAATTGACAAGGCATTAGCCTTTGTCCTCCACGATAGCATCACCTTCAGACACAGTAGCAGTTGGAGCAGGAGCAGTCATCGTTAGGGGATTTTTCTACCTTTTGTTTTAGGTACAATTTTTCAGAAGCTCCTAAATCACTGTCACAAATTGTACACTTTCACATCATAGCTGTTCCCTATGTTCAATGGATTAGGGGAGACACCTGCTACCCCTGAGAGAGCAGCAGGTCTGAACAGACTAAAATTTCAAAACAAAAGCAGCCTTCTGCATAAGGAGCACATAAATTTGAGAGAGGTTTTTGAAGCCAGTGTCTGATCTATAGTCCTAGGTAAAATGGAATGGGGAGGTCTCTTTACAGTGGTTAGCACATACACAAATCTATGACTAAAGAGTCTTCAGTACATACAAAATCATGGAAGCAAAAGGCACAAGCAAGGTCTGTCTTCATCCAACACTCCAGTATTACTTCTTGAAATACCACACTTCATTGTGCCTATAGAAGAGCTTGAAGGGACTGTCATAGCCAGCAGTGTAATAGAAGTCTTCATGGAATGACTGACCTGCATTCTTTAGGATTCTTGCCAGTGCCTGGGCTTCCTCAGCATATTTCTCTGGAGAGGCAAACCCACCAAAGGACCTGGGGGAGGACAGTGGAGAGAGGGGCTCTGGTTTGTAACACTGTTGGAGTTTTAACAATGCAAACCTTGTAGTTAGAGATGAGCCCAAACCAACCCCCCCAATCCAAATACTCCAAGCTTTAGCGGGGGAGGATCCGAATTCTGAAATGTTCAGCTGGCTCCTAGTAGCCACAGCAAGGGTAGATCCGAAACCAGACCTGGAGCTGAATTTCATGGAGGGGCTTCATCTTTAAAATAGGCTGAATCAGCAGCCTGAATCCAGACACTCACAAACTGTGAGGTGTTTGAGATCTGGCTTCATGTTCTGTAGCTAAGGGTCATGTGTAACTACGGTCAGGGATTCATCCAGCATGTGATGGTGTGACCAGGCACATCTATGTGTATATATAACGGCCCCAGCTGGCATGTTGCAGAGAGTTGCCTAGACATACAGTGCTAGCTGTTTATTTTCACCACTTCTGTTGGTGAAAGAGACAGCTTTTGAGCTTCACAAATGAAGGGAGTGAGGAACGGGGTGCTCTCTGGAGGGTTTCTCTTTCCCAGACATGGTATTGAACAGCAAAGGGTGAAACTGCAGGCACCAGCCCCCTGTTTATGCTTTAATCAGTCTCCTCTCCCAAAGAAGAGACAGGAGAGTGCTACCTGACAAAGATGGCCTCTCCCTTCCGCTCCTCGATGAAGACGTCTGGGGCTGTGGGCTGTGGGGGGGACTCTTGGTGCTCGAATGGCACAAAGAATGAGACCTTGAAGTCTGTGCAACCAGATTTCACCAGGCACGTCACCGGCACAGTCATCTCAATCTTCATCTCTGGAAGAATGAGGATAAGAAAGGTCCTGTCTCGCACCAGCCGCAAGCAGAGGCAGAGGGTGAATGCTACCTTGGGACCTGCAGCCACTGGGGACAATGTCAAAGAGGGGCTTCAATACTCGGGGCAGAGGCAGCAGTGTTCCTGCAGCACCATCTCCCCAGTGCAGCAGGGACTACTCCTGCCACAAGCCCTTTCACCAGGTTTGGCTCGGGGATTCATACTGCTGCCCATTCCCATGGTATGCAAGTACCCATCATGATGCTCTCATCCATCAATGCTTCTCCCTATTGCCTGTGAATACTTCCCTAGTAAGCATCTCCATTTCCTCCACGCAGCCCCTGATCTTCCCCACCTCCCATCCCACACACCCCTGGAGGAACAGAGACACTCTGTCTCTTCCATCTCTTCTCCCCCATTCTGAGGTTCCCCTTCCTCCCCCACCAGGCATAGGGCAGCTCACCCTGGATGAGGGGAAACAGCCCCAAAGGACACCCCTTTGCAGGCAAGAAAAATACGGATGCATTAACTCACCCACACCAAGAAAGCATCTCTGACATTTCTAGTGTACTTCCTATCCCCCAGAGCTACCCGAACCTTTGCTGTTCCCAGCTCAGTCTCCTTTGTGCCCTGCCCACAATTGGACGGCTGGGTCCAGGGGTTTCCCAATGACTGTTCCAAATCTGGGTGACTTCATACCTTTCTCATTCTTCCCCTGAATGTAGCAGAAGAGTTTCCAGAAGCCCTGGCGCAGTGCCTCCTTCTGCATCTTTCCTTGAATTACTGTGCTAGCCCATTTGGCCGTCTCATAGTGACGCAGCTCGTAATCTTGCACCTGAGACAGAATAAGGTTACAAGGCTTAGTGAAGGTGTGGCTTTTATTTCCAGGTCAGTGAAATGTCCCAATCAGCCCACATCTTCCTGCAAAATCACCTCCCTGGGAGTGTGCCCCTCGCAGGCCCATCTCAGCAGCCACACACTCCCACACCCTTTCCCCCAACAAGTTACATGCCCCTAACAAGGCACCCCCCCAGTTGCCAAACCATCACAGCGCTCCCCACCCCCACCCCCCGGCATTGGCTTCAGCCCAATCCCCCCCTCCTCACCCAGTTACAGGAACAAAAGCTGCACTGGCAAAAGCACTCTCTTGTCTATGTGAGCTGCGTTTACACTGGAGGATTTGCAAGGACAGCTGCACCCATGAACCTTTTCTAGTGTAGGCAAGGTCGAAGATATATGGCTACTGTCCTATAGCTCCAGATGTTCATTGCAGTTTCCTTCTTGCATGGCTTCTTCGCTGACAGCACTAATTAGTTTATTTCTGCAAGATCTACCCATCAAAAACAATACCCCTCAGCTTCTGATATAGAGATCTCCCCAGCAACTAGCATTTACCGTGATCTCTGCTGAGCTCCACCTGGGCGACTGCAGCTCCAGCGACAAAAATCTCTGTTTGAACGACTTGATCATCTCTCCTGAGCTGAAAGAAAACAGTTAATTGGCACTGAGTAACCCCCAGTGCAAGGGATCAAGATTTCTTGCCTAATCTCAGGCTTCTAGAGTTAGTTTTCTCAGGCCTGCACAAAATCTCTAGCCTTTTAGCACTGCCACTAGAGTGAGCACTTCCACCAAGAGTGGAGGAGGAACAGAGAGATCATAGAAGATTAGAGTTGGAAGAGACCTCAGGAGGTCATCTAGTCCAACCCCCTGCTCAAAGCAGGACCAACCCCAATTAAATTATCCCAGTCAGGGTTTTGCCAAGCCAGGCCTTAAAAACCTCTAAGGATGGAGATTCCACCACCTCCTTAGGTAACCCATTCCAGTGCTTCACCACCCTCCTGGTGAAGTAGTTTTTCCTAATATCCAGTCTAGACCTCCCCACTGCAACTTGAGACCATTGCTTCTTCTTCTGTCATCTGCCACCACTGAGCTCCATCCTCGCTCCATCCTCTTTGGAACTCCCCTTTAAGTAGTTGAAGGCTGCTATCAAATCCCCCCTCACTCTTCTCTTCTGCAGACTAAATAAGCCCAGTTCCCGCAGCCTGTCTTCGTAAGTTATGTGCCCCAGTCCCCTAATCATTTTTGTTGTCCTCCGCTGGATCTCTCCAATTCTTTCTGTGTGGGGGTGGGGAGTGGGGGGAGAACTGGATGCAATACTCCAGATGTGGCCTCACCAGTGCCGAATGAGTGGAATAATCACTCCCCTCAATCTGCTGGCAATGCTCCTACT